TCAAAAGCTCCCAGCTGGGCGACGCCACCGCTGCTTGCATCATTGGTGGTGTTGAGTGCGCGAGAATATGCGTATTGCTGGCCTCGACCAGATGGTTGGGATCGTAGTGTGACATGGCGCCGGAGGTCGTGCCTAGATATGGCAAAGGCTGATAGATGGAGGCGACGGAATCTGGATGCAACGTGGGCTGAAACCATTCTCCGGTGTAGGTAGAAGAAGGCCCCATAGTGTATGAGCAGTCCATGCTTCGCGGCTCAGCTTCGGGGTAGGTGCTCAGTTCGTTGTGGCTGTTATGGCTGGGACCGTACTGCAAATATGGTTGCACCATGGTGCTTGATATTTTGTCGTGTGTTGCAGAAAAGGTTGCCATCCAGTGGACAATCTCGAGACTAACGGTGAGGAGACTAACGGTGATGAATGATTTGCACAACGTATGGCCGCAACGGATGAATGTCGAAAAGAGGCCGATAGCTCCGAGTTAAAGAAATCTGTCTACCGGACGAAAGCGACGGAATTGTCAGCCGTGATATATATCTGGTGGTGATAAACTCTATTGTAGAGCCCTTGTCAATAATATCGCGCCGGTATAGTCTTTTGGGGGTGCTGTTTCAGCAGTACGTACTGGATCTACCCAACTCCCACAACTCTCGGCACCCTGCTTTTGGCCGCCGAGATGTTCGGCCCCGGTGACGCCTGGGCAAAATTGTCGGCAGCAAAGCGTGGGTGCAACCACACGGCAATTATTCCTTTGGCCTCGTTGTAATATCACTAAGTGGTGTGGCCCATGAATGGGCTAGCCCGGTTCCCCCGGTCCGGGATCTCCCCCGTGAAATGACGCTTGGATTCCCCAGTACCACGGCTTGACAGACTATGTAGGCTAAATCCCCTGTCAATGTCAGTGTGTTCACATAGGGCTCGAATCCATCTCCCTCGAGTGGATGGGTTTGAGTCCGAGGGCAGTATCACCGTAGCATCAAAGTGACACACTAAACCTCGTAAACGACTTGAAGAATGAGAGATATCCATGTTCTGCAAAATTTGAACCACGTCGCACCATATATCGTAATACTAAGCATCTTCCTTTGAACTCATTGGTGATGTTAGCCCTTGTCTACTACTGGACGTAATTGGATCAACAGGCTTTTGCTGCGTCATCATGCTCATATACAAGAAGCACAAGCCGTTGAATCTTGTTAACCGATTTCTTGACTTCGATCCATCTCTGTCAATCAAGTGGGCCATTTAATCGACATTCATTGAGATACCGGAATCTGCGTCCGGTGCAAAGGAGCCGTCTTTACACTAACCCAATTTGATGAAGATCAAGCGAGAAAATTCCACTTTCAGATGGGCCTTCTTACCAAGTTTACTCTTTCTCAAGATATTCTTGGCATGAAATTGGAATCCAGGAGAAGACTAACTAGAAGCAAGCAAAGCAGCTCAAAGATGCCCTGCCGACGTCCAACACAAATAAATTAAGGTAGACAGCGGGTACATTGACTACATCGAGACTCCTCAAGCAAGGGTTCCTTACATTAAACGCTATAATTAAGTAAATATGGATGAGTCGAAGCAATAATGTTGCGGATTAGAGGCAGTATCTTGGGGGGCTGAATACCATTTTGATCAGAAACTCGGTTTCGCATTCTATCTCGCTGAGCATTGCGTGCAATCGTCACACAAGTCCGTTGTAATTCTTCAGTGATCCCAGGACCACATACATGTGATGACATAACATGAGGTATACCTGGAACTCTTGAGCAACACATGTGTCGTACTCTAACATCAAGACCGCGAGATTTCATCGAACACTTAGTCCTTCGTAAGCAGGGCTTCTTCAACCAGACCGACGTATGATTTTAGGCCAGTGCAATTATTACAGCCTGCAACGTCCCCCTGGTATCCATGAGTATGATCGGCGGAGTGCCATCCCCCCTCCTCTCTCTTGATCCACGGGACCGACAATGACCTATACGGGCCCCATAATTGCCCAAGAAATGCCGACGCACTAATCTTAATTTCTAGCCTTCACTTAATTTGAGAGGAATTCTATGCGAGCATAACCCAGTAAGAAGACTTGTGCGGAAATTCGTCTAAAAGAAAATGAATTCCTATGATGCGGGAGCGAACTACAGGCCGGCCTCAAGTTCCCGGAACCCGTGGAAGCCTACAAAATGTTGAGACGGACCTGATAAGCAGCTCTCGAACGTGAGCGCTGTTTGGCGAAAAAATCTCGATGTCTCTTGCGAACGGTGGTTCCGCCTGCTTCCCTCCGTAGACATCGGCAGTTGCAGATTCTCGTCCGAAGTTCGGCCACGGCCTCGCAGATCCGGTCTCCCGGGGGGCCTGGAAGCCCCGGACGTTGCACTTAACGGCTGCTCCGTTATTGGATCATGCGGGTGGTTTGCATTGCGACTGGCTCCTGAAAGCTGTCATTAGTCCCACTGATGGGCTGGGGGACCTTGTTCAAGTCGCTTTTCTAAGTCGGGTAGAGTTTCGAGTTGCATCTGGCAAGTTTCCCAGAATTATCTACAACCTGTTTTTGGAGAGCGGCCGCATCAGCTTGAAATCATCAATTGCCTCTCTTGGATGTTTGCAACGTGCCCTGGCCTCGATGAATGTCTGCGGTACGTTGTCGCTACTTCTAGAAATGGTCTAGGTGGTTGAGACCCTTGTGGCAATGCCTTTGCCATGACTCAGGAAGATCATTGTCCAACGAGACTTCAACTCGCGCGATTGACATGATATTGTCATCATCTCCGCAGATATCTCACGGGGTGCACAAATCATCCAAATCTATAAAAGCTTGAAATAGGTTTCTCACTCATTTGCTTCCATGATAGTCAACGGTAACGGTTTTACTTCAGGAATTCCAGGGAAGAGAGCTATTGTACTTGTATGGTCGCCACGCAAGGGCTGTTGGATAAATGATTCCGGATTATAAGCATTCAGGACTCGACTAAAATGGAAAACCCGATGGGGGTTTTCTTCACGAGCCCTGAATTTTCCGTTCCATCTGTTACTCCGAGTTTCTTGCTATTTCTCAAAGAGTAGCGGATGTTGGCCACTTCTCTGTTCGATAAGCGGAACGTTTATGACTATATTGAACAAACCTTCATCAGGTGACCCAACTAACAGCACGAAAAGGATCACGTCATCCTCACAGTACCAGTTTGAATCAAGTTCCCTTCGTTGCCAAGAGGCCAAAGAACACGGCAGATACCAACTTGCACTTTGAGCTGGTTCCGTTGGCCTTGACACCCCCCGGTGCGCCGACGATCAGACGATAGTCCAGTCACCAAGTGACAAGTTGTCAAAGGCTTCGGGGTCTCCCTAGACTGCTATTGGCTGGACTTACGCTAAAGGTACAGTTGGCCTTGCCATGCAGTGATGTTCTGGTGGCTCAGGCAGATGCTGCCCAGAGACTGACGGCATCTTCTCCCCGCAAGCCGTCTTGGCGACCACGACTGGTTGGGGGGTTGATACAGCCTTCGGCTCCCTAGAAAGACCCTGTAAACTATCCCAAATCCTGACGTGATGTTGCATGAATCATAAGTTGGCTACTAATCAGGTCACAGCGTGGGGATGGATGATGACATCTCGTCTCGGTAAGGCTGTTGACAGGGTCAAATCACAAGTGAGGAGGCGTCTGTTCTGGGATGGCGGTGTCAAATTGAGTGATGAATGACTATTTACTTTCAATTAAGGTTTTTTAAATGACAAAACTGGTGGAAGATTTGCCAGATATAGAATTACCCAGAATTGTTGGAGGGCCAGAGGAAATGAGAATTCCGGGGCGTCTGCCCTGGATAAGATCTGATTAACACAGGAGTGATATTGTTCTGGAAGTAAGCATATATGAGTGAAAGACTTTGACACAACCCCGCAGATTTCAAGCAGTCTAGGGGAAATGAGAGCGTATCCTAAGCGGAATCTTGGTAATATTACGCTGTGTTGTTAGGCTACGTAGGCAAGTTTAAACATCATAGGTACCTAGACACCTAAGACCGAATGCGACCAAGTCTAATATGTCTAGCATAGAGCGACTCCTGAGTGCTCTCTTCGTAAAGCAACCAGAGCTTCGAATTCATCAATATGAGAAATTGGTATTGAGCCTTGTTGAGAGGCACAGCGCTTTTCCCGCATCAGCTTCAAGGCGGCCTGGTGCTCCCTCTGGAAGCCGCTTGAAAGGCATTGGCATAGTATCCACTCTGATAGACATCCGCACCAGAGTCCAGGAGTACTTCAACGACATCAATGTCGCCATGTTGCGCAGCGGCTTATAGAGCTGAGCTGATCCGTAAAATCCGGTTTGTTGATTCTTCAAGGCACCCTCTTGGACCAGAAGTCTGACGATCGATACATGCCCATTGATAGCAGCAGCCTGTAGAGAATCGCCGAAGTGTCCGCAGGTATTGATCAGTGCGCCTCTTTGGAGTAATTACCGGACGTTCGACTGATAATTGAGCAACGAGGCTGTTCTCAAGGGAGGACCGAAAGCGCCGCTGGCCTCAATATCCATTCCCATGTCTAGGGGTAGTTCCAATATCGATCTATCATTGAATTAAACCGCAAGCGCAACAGCATCCGAAGTGAGAAGACTTTGGTTGCTGAGAGTTTGACTCAGAAACTACTGCAAGACGCCGCTTTGTCCGCTTTGTATCGCCCTCCTGATCTTGATTTTCGTTCGTACTCTGGCAGCTATTGTCGATGTTCAAGCAGCAAATGCAGAATCATGTGGTTTCTGGACTGCGTTGACAAACCCGACCAAGGCTGCACTCCCAATGACCTTTTCATACTCTCCTCTATCCCTGACAACGACTCCCACTTGTAGAAGATGCATCGCTACGTCTTCTTGTCTACCTCGGTAAGCAGCTTCAAATGCTGTTCCAAATCTAGAGCCACACGAAACTTTGGCGCCATGGAGGAGGCAATCTTTGACTACTTGCAAATGGGCAGAAAAGCAAGCTGCATATAAAGGACTCCCATGTCTTCCACACTTAAAGGTTGACGGGGGCGCCGCGATCAGCAAGTAAAGACAATGTCGCTGAATGCCCACATGCCGCGGCTAAGTAAGCGGAGATCTGACCCAGATGGTTTTGTAGGTTGACGTCCACGTTGCTGATGTTCGCTAACGCTTGGTGTTGAATGCAGTCGAGTCCAAATGTGCTCAGTGTAAATAGGAATCCAGAGTTTGATGAGTCAATCGCACTCATTTCGCCTTTCAGGGCATAATCTCCCGGTAGAAGTAGATCGATCTTATGGGCGTTCATCGCCCAGCTCTCGTAAGAAAGTGTGGTATCCCAATTCTCATCAAAGATGAATGTTGTTACATCCTTTTCAACACGTTTCATGGTAAGTGTGTCTGTGCCAAAGTAGAATGCCAATTTGGAGTGGACCGGCCAGTACAGCGCTGCGTAGATATGAGAGTCATCGCTTGGAATCTGCATTCCGTTGATGGATACAAGATCTAGTCCTCGCGAGCAAACTCCGATGCAGAGAGACGCGAGAGTGTCGTGAGCTGTGGCAGGTAAAAGGCCTGATGGCGCCTTAAGAAGTCGCGAACTGACTAGTGAGAAAACCGCAGTACATCGCACATGATGTCTAGGAAGACAAGTTTGGGGCAAATCACCAACACCTGTGTCAAGTCTAAGGTCAAGGCTTGTTCAGCAGATATGGCCTTTAGAAGGGTCCGAGGTCTCGGCGGTTCTACCATGTGTAGAACACAAGACAGAACTATTGTAGCAATGTCTTGGGCCACCTCCCCAGAGTGGGAAATGTAATCGAGAGATACTTGGTAAAGAAGGTCAAGGCCGTGGGGGAGGTTGTCTCGAAAGACTGTCACGATATCCTCCTCGACAGTCTCGCGACAAATCCGCTCAATTTGTAATCTCGCCCACTGGAACCTAATTATTGTCAGAAAGACATCACTGCTTAAATAAGGCTCCGCCATTTGATTTCTCTCTTGGGTGGCAGACAGCGACTCCCATGCTTTGGTTATTGAAGCCCATAGGGATCGTCGCCTAGTGCCTCCTGTTTTGGAGCCCAGATGCCCAGACGCAACTCTGTGATCGAGCTACCTTTATCAAGCTTCTTGACACGAATGCTCTTCACCAATTGAGACCTACCATTGCTCGGTCAAGACAACTCCCACCCATGCTGTGAAGAGATTGAGGCGTCTGGGGAAAATCACATAGGTGGCAATATTGCATTGAGCGATCATAATCACTTCTTCAAGTCGTCCCTGATAACAGAGTACAAAAGTTCATCCATCACAACCCCATCTCTAACAACAGCTCTCCTCGCCCTCCCCTCAAACACAAACCCACTCTTCTCAAGAACCTTCTGACTCCCCTTATTCGCCTCAAAAACACCCGCCCAAACTCTCTCAACCTTCCTCTTCCCCTCCCCATCAACCTCTCCACCACCCATCCCCTCAAAAACCCACCTCACAAAAGCGGGCACAACACACCCCATAACCCCCTTCCCCCAATCCTCCTCTCCAAGCCAGTACCCAAGCTCATATCCCCTCGCATATACATCCTTCCCCGGCACGAGCCCGATACTCCCCATAGGCCTCCCCGTTTCCGGACAGGCGATGACCCAGTTGTACACCGGCGCGCCGCCGTCGCTGGAATTCATCGCGATCCAGGACTCTGCGTCGGCGAGGGTGTAGGGGCGGGGGAAGGAGTCGCGGAGGTAGCGGGATACGGAGGGGGAGTTTGCTGCGGTGGAGAGTGCGGGTGCGTCTGTTTTGTGGTAGGGTCGAATTGTTGCTTTTGGGAGGTTGAGGATTGCGGGTGGGAGATCTTGCGTAGGGGACATATTTGTCGGTTCCCAGGTTTAGAATCTCTGCAGACTCTGAGGGTTTTAGGTTGGTGAGTATGTATTGAGTTGTGAGCTGTTTACTGGAAGATGGTTGAGAACTCGAGGTGTTGTTGTATGTTGTGAGAGTGTGACTAATACTACTCAATTGCGAAGCTGCCATTTACGGAATAGTTTCGGGGACACGGACATGGGTCTAATGACTCTTCTGCTCTCTGCAACGATAAGCTCTGCTGACGGCGAGACGAGTTTTCGCGTCTGCCTAGCAGCATTACTCAGGTCCTTCCCGCTATGATACATCTCAAAAAGGCACTCTGAAGGTTCCTGGCGGGAACATAGGATCTAGAGATCTGGACGAAGATTAGCGGCCGTTACGGACAAGACAACAAACGGCAACATCCGCCAAGATCCGGTTTCGAGACCCTTCTCCAGACTGTTGAAGAACGGGTTAACCCACCCTGGCTTCGTGAACCAAAATGCCAAGCCTTTCGGGACGAAGTTGGACATCGTGCACGCCTCTGAACGAATTCAAACAATAGAGAGACGATATACACGCAATAAATATAGAGATTGAAGTTCAAGCTTAGGTCCAACCAAGCTTGCGAGATGGGCGTAAAAAGTCTGTCGCCGTGGTTCCCCATGTCATTATTCCGTCAGTACCCCAACTTCATTCAGTTCAAGCCTGACTGACCCCAACGCAGGGCAAACAAGCTTTAACAAAAAGCAATAAGCTTAAACCGCAACCTCTATTGGCACATGGGACGATGAAATGTCCAGAGAAGCATCAAAAAACACCAAAAAAAGATTTGCACACAATCGCTGCGAGGATTTGAGCCTCACGCGGGGGTCGAACCCGCAACCTTGAGATTAAGAGTCTCACGCTCTACCGATTGAGCTAGCAAGGCGGCTGGGGGCCGTGTTTGATTGGTGAGAGCTTTCGGCCGGGTCTGCGCCTGAGTTTCGTCTGCGGTCTGCGAGCCGGCCAGTTTCCAACCCCCCGGCTGGTAAGGACCTGACCCGCCATCCCGGCGAGCCGTGAAGGCTGCCTGTCGCTCCCCGGCCTTTGGAGACGATGGATCGCGATGCATGCAATCCTGCAGGAGTCAGAAGGAAGAAACCTCTCGCCATTTTGGAACACGTCTCTTATTAACGGGGTGACAACTGGGTATCCGCAGCACACACCAAGAACTCCGAAGCCAAGTTTTTGAACGCGCTTCCACGTTGAAGAATCCTCCAAGAAATCCTCATAAAATCCAAGCCGACTCGGTGTAGTCCTTGGCCCCGTTCTGCACCATGTTCTTGGTGTACTTCATCCAGCACCAATTGCTATCCTCCCCCTGCTCGCCCTCGTAAATGTACACAACACCCTTGCATGGGCCTTTTCTTGACTGCTGCTGCAGGTTAAACGCCGCGCAGTACCGTACGCACTCTTCGAAATTCTTGGCCGGCACCTGCGCGATGTCGTTGTAGAGATAATCGGTCCCGCAATCCTTACTAAACGTCAGGTTCGTCCCGGGCACCTGGTATGTCAACACGGAGCTGGAACCGGGACACTTGTTGAGCGCGATGGGCGTGTCCGTGGCGGCGGGCTTGCTTAGGTCGAAGGCAGCTGACGATGACGCCGAGGTGGGTGTGGCGGTTGATGAAGAGGAGGATGGCGATTGGAGGCTGTGGAGATGTATTAGTTTTGCTGTGAGAATGCGGCTGCTCGTGTGTTGTAGGCGAGGAACTTACTTTGCGATTTCGTTGTTTTTGCTTGCCACCAAAGCACCTAATCCGCCCGCCACACCGACCAAGGCGCAGAACAGCAGACTGGAGAGAATCAACAACCAAAATGTGGCCTTGCGCAGCCCGCATATTGTGCCGTCGTCCTTGCTTCCCTTCCTTTCCGCCAGCTGCTTTTCCGGCATCGGCGAGTGCTGATTTTGAGCGTACGTCGTCTCGGTGTAGTTCGTCTGTGGCGTGTGAGGTTGGTGTTGATGCTGATGCTGTAGCTGGTCATAGTACGGTTGCGCCTGTGCCGGCTCATATGATTGCGGCGCCGTGCTGTAGTTTGCTCCGGTGTTCACCTCCAATCCATCCGGGATGGCACCGGCTTCGGGTCCGGGCCCACCGTTTGGTTGCTTGAGCATCTTTTCGGCTTCAGGGGATGGGGAGTGACTGCTATAGTTGCTATGCCTGTTGGAATAGAAGTGGTCGTGCGGATGTAGCGATGCCATCGCGCGGAGGGGAAACCAAGACAAGCCACGCTTAGGGACGACAGAGTAAAGGAGGAGGGGGAGGACTTTAAATGAGGCTGCCAAGCATCAGGTAGGGGTAATCTGACCGAAGGTAAAAAATGCGAGACAAAATGGGCAGCGAAGACTGGTCGAGGACTCTCTCGATACTGTTGTTGACGGGGAGCGACATGCAGGATTGACCGTCTTGTGCCACACCACGCGCGCGCAACAAGGGGCGGGGCGTCATCAGCACTTGTACCGGCTGGCTCGCTGGTCCAAGACAATTCAGGACGCTATCCGTTCCACGGCCGTCACAGCGGTAGGGCTGGCGCGAGAATAGTACCTGTCTGTACGGGGTACTGGCCCGCCGTTACAATAAGCTTGCTCCTGTAGCCTGAATCTAGACGTGGGTAGTCAAGGCAGAAGAGTCTCAAGGGAGCATCGCCCCCTGACTTTACCCAAGGAGACTCAGCCCAGAGGCTGAGGGAGGGTGGTGGCCGTCACGGTAGTATTCTCAGCTTTGTCCAATGAGAAATCAGGCGCGGCAGCGATCAGCGCCAAATGGGTTCACACTCGGGATCTTTGGCGCGCGAAGGATTCGACCCCCCGACCAACTCTGATGCATCGTCGGGTCATCGAACCCTTTTTCAGAGTACCTTTGTGCCAAGGCAGCGCGCCAAAACAGCGACCAGCTGTTCGAGTAGGCTCTGGGACTCGGAAGTAAGCCCAAAAGATGAAGACGCCTTCCGAAAGCCACCCAATTTCCAAGTGGTCACCACAGGATTCGCAATTGAGACATCCCTGGTTTCTCCGGCCTTGCCAATGTCAGCCATTGGGAGCGTTGAGAAAGGCGTTTCGTCTTCTGTCTTCCTCGGGGTTTTGCTTGGAGCCCGCCCCTTTTCAGCCCCCACGGGAGTATGACGCTGGGATGAGGTGCAGCCGCGCTTCGCTCTTGGGATGAGGTGCAGCCGCGCTTCGCTCTTGGGATGTCTTCCGCGACAGAAGCTTGAGTCCGTCCAGCACACTGGGCAACGCTTCACACTGACAGCTTCGCGAGCTTCGCGGTCCTAATATGGCCAAGTGCTGACGGTCAAAGTATGAGTGGGGAATCCGGTGTCGCCCCCGAGTGATGGCCGGGCGGGCGGGTCTGTCCGGCATCTTGGCTTTTCCATTTCTCGTTCGGTCGGGAACCACTCCCGCCGGATATTGCCTCGAATGCTGCTTGCCGCACATGCCACCATCATCTCTGTTCGATGCCTGCTATGCCTGCCAATGCGTGGTAGCCAAAGAGGGGGCGAAAGGCATGAACTGGGGACGCTGGCAGGTAGGTCTCAGGCCGGAATCAAGCTCATAGCCAAGCTTCGTTCGAGCCAAAATCTCATCAGAACGTGGCGCACCTAGCGGCTCCTCCCGCCAAACACGCCGCGCTGAACGTCTTTGGCCAAAGGGTCCTTCGATGGGGCTCAAGACGGACCGGCTCTTAGGCGGTAATTAAGGCATATTCAATCTTCGCCTTTTTGTTCACTCTTTCGCCTGCGTGGTTGCATTCCTTGCGAGTGACAAGCCGGAAGGGACTATAATTATGGTCCGTCGGCGATTCTATGTTTCTTTTCCCAACGCCGAAGGCGAGCCTTGGGGCGCACTGGCAGAAGCTGTCGTGCTTTCAAGAAGCGCTTCCCGACACGGCACGCTATATCCGTACAAGCGCCAATTCGAGGTCTGTTCAAGCGCAAGAGAACTCTAAAGGCCGTGACGTCAGTTATGCCTCTGGTCAATGTCGGGGCTTTTTGCTTCAGATCAGACGTCCGCTATGACCGAGCGTGAGGAATGAAGGCAATCCCGACGGGCTGCCAACTACCTTCTTGCCATCTCAACGTCAACCGCTCATCTCCACGAAAGAACGAACAATCGAGAAAGTCTCTTGGGGTCAATTGACACGAATAAAAATTCGCCCTTGGTCATGTGTCGCTGGTTTGCTTACCTGGGCGATGAAGCCCAGCTTCTTGAAGATTTGGTCATTCGGCCGCGCCATGCCATTGTGAAGCAAGGTGAGTGTTCTGTCATGACGTTTCAGCGGGGCTTTTCATGATGATATCGGTAGTGGACGAACACTTCCTACCGGCTGGCCATTCAACGGTTGAACCATTTCTTGGAGAGCTTCAGGTCGCCCCTTTGGCTGCCAATGACGCAGGCTCACCGAATCCATTGACCAACATGGACGGATTCGGCCTCGGGTGGTATACGTCGACAGAGTGCGAGTTCAACCCTTATATCGATCCAAAGTGGCCCGAGTCCCTTCGTCCAGTCGTGTACAAAAACACTCGACCTCCGCTCAACGATCTGGTCCTCAAGAGCATCGTTCGAGGCACCAGCAGCAATGCCGTCCTTGCCCACATCCGCGCAGCCCCAGGCCTGACGCCAGTCGTAGAGACCAACTGCCATCCCTTTGCGTTTGGTCGTCATTTGTTCGCCCACAACGGCATCCTCGGGTCTTTTCCTCGTATCCGTACGGCAATTCTGCAATATCTTCCGTTGAGATACCAACATGCCGTTGTCGGGACAACAGATGCTGAGCACATTGCGGCCGTGTACTTTTTCATATTATGCGGTAAGGATGGCGACTGGGAGTCTGTCTATGATGCTGGAGAGATGGCGACAGCGATGCGGGAGACTATCATCATACTCGAGAAATTGCAGACCGAGTTTGGGCCGCCGAGCCGAGAGGCCAACACACTCAACCTTGTTGTCATGTCTGGCAGCTCGCTCGTCGCTGTGCGATATGCCAGCCCGGAAGGACTGGAACCCCCGAGTTTGTACTACTCGACGACAGCTGGAGCGACGCTCAACCGCAAGTACAAAGGATTTCCAAGCGACGTGAGTGACTCGGCCGATGGTGGTGACGGGGATGCCGAGGACGACGGGCGGCTAGAGAAGAAGAAGCATGGAGAGCACGTCGTGGTAGCCAGCGAGCCCAGCACCTTTAACCAGGGCGAATGGGAGCTTATCAAGCCATCACAGATGGTAGTTTCTGAACTGGGTACTGGTGCCTATCTCGAGCACTTGTGAGTAGTCACTTATGAGGGTCATGTTTTCGACGGGGGATGCAAGGCAGCCTTTGGGTTGGCGTTTGGACGTTTGATAATGGGCTGCGATTTCCAAACGAGTTATACGTGTATCGCCACCTTTGGATCGTCTGTACGTTGCTTGGAGTTAAAATCGTGCCCACAAGGTGTCAGCATCTTTCATTATTGCAACTCCCACGGGTGTGCTCAGCTCCTTCTCCTGACCGTTTCTTTTCTCGACCGCTGTTTCTAGTCGTGCTTCCATCATCCTGGTGTCTTCATGTGCGCATCCGCGTGGCGAAGGGTGAGAGAAAGGAACCCTGTCTGGTATCAGTCCCACATCATGGCAGATCAGTTGATCTTCAGACGTGGCTCCCGCGGGTTGATTGGCGGCATTGGCGTGGAACACCGGCAGGTAGCCTACCAGGAGCAAACAACACCACCGCCTCGCCATTGTGTAACATTGCAACCTGTGAGAAGGACAAAAACAAAATTTCGGCGAAAAAGCAGGAAGTTCGCATCAGACCAGCTTTGGAGCTACCTGTCGAGAGCGCGGCCAAAAGAGACAGAAGGTTGAACATGTTGGCTGGTAACACCTAGGTGACAGATGGAAGGAGGTGAGGACGGCAAGAAAGGTCCGAGGTTCCGTAGAATCCATCCATGTCCCGATCGGGGTGAATTAAAAGAGAAGGAGGAGGGCAGCTGCTCCTTCTGTGTCAATAAGTCAGGTATCCAAGGCAGGAGCTCTTTCTTTTAGCACACTTCACCTTCCTTTCTGACCTGACATCGTCCACCCAAGTACTCACCTCTTGGTCTCCTTTTTCCTTGTTTCTTTTGTCACCGATGTTCTACACTGTTCTACACTGTTTTTCTCTTCCTTCTTCCATCGAGACTCAACCATCAAGCCGATTTGTTTCTTCCATTTGGCCGCCATTTCAACCGCAGCCTGTGCGTCTACTTCATACTCGACAGCGATTTCGCACTGACTCTGGGCACCTTCGAGACGACCATCGCTTCGAGGGTGTATTAGAATTCGCCCAGTACGCGTACAACTTGCGACTGCCGGGAATCATGGGGGATCGAACGCTATTTATCGTTCTTCTCTATCTGGCCTTCGGTCTCCTAGTCAACGCTACGGAAAGCGAAAACGACGACTATGACCAGTGCTACTTTGATGCAGGTTATGTCGGTCCACCTAACCTTCTCCCTTGCTTACCGGCGAATGAAACAAAAGGTGGCTTCAGTTGGTGCTGTCTGGCAGGGGACGCCTGCGTCAATGAAGCCTGTTGGAATCATGATTCGGGCGTGACTTATCAGTATGGCTGTAACGACCCGAATTACGCAGACAAAATCTGTCCCCTCAAGGGCGATCTCGACCCAGGTCCGTTCCTCCTCTGCCATGACCCATTGGATTCCCTTAGGGCACTCACAATTAATCAATCTGACAGCCAAGTCCCCCTGGATAGGGCTTGTCCGATGCGATACTGAGAACGAAGGTATTCTGAAATACTGGGCTTGCAACCATCCAGATACCTGCGGCGAAAATTGCCCGACTGAACCCGAGCGACCGCAGGTCACTCAATCTGTCTGGCCCTGGAAACCTCAGGCTTTGCCACCAAACAAAGACTGCAAAGATCTAGGAAGGCGAGTTTTGGCAATGTATGCTCCAGCAACCATTCCTTCAACTGGCGGTGTCCCATTGGCGTATACGGCCCCCTCAAACAAACCGTCTCTATCAATGCCGCCATTGCAAAGCAGCGGCACCACGACATCTCTGGCTTCTTCAACCACAACTACCTCTATTTCCGATACTGGGACTTCTGTCGTAAATATCACATCACCCACAGCTGCCACCACTACATCCGTGGACTCCGAGACGAGCAGCTCAACCCTAGGCACCGGGGCTATTGCTGGCATTGCCGTTTCCTCCGCCTTCCTCATAGGATCGGCCTTATTCGTCGCCTTCATGCTACTCCGACGTCGTCGCTACCGACATGGTCCGGTACTCAACAACCATGAGACTGAGACTTATGACCACGAACAGACTGTTCCTGCAGAATTGCCTGACGAGAAACACAACCTTATAAATCCCCACACCCCGTCCACAGCCTCGGACGCAGGACAGGGCCGGCCAGTCTCGGACACGACTCTGAGCATATTTTCACCCAGTCCGCTCAGTACGCCGAGAACTCCAGGCTCGCCGTATTACTACCACGGCGTCGGCCAAGCCCCTTCTGAGTTGGCGGATCAGCCAAGGGCTATACACGAGATGCCGGCAATCAATGAACGGGTCGAGATGCCTTGATTAGTGGGATAGTGGTGCCACTATATCCAGGTCGCGGTAGGGGGAAGGCTTTGGTATCGCTGTTATGCTTTAGGACTCGGACATATGCACATGTTTAGAGAATACTTCACAATGGCAGACTGATATGATTGCCCCTCTGCGTACCCCTTTGCTCAGTCACCTTTGGGCTATCGGCCCATAATTGGATATAAATGCTACGTCTTTGCCAATAAGTGCTCGACAAGCTGACCTCACGAGAACGAGGCGCTGTGCATTACTGCAGACGAAGACCACATCGAGGTGACGACGTTACACGGAATCCACCTCCCCTGTATTCAAAGGGAAAGTGCTTTTGAGCAGTACTGAAAACTTGATAATATTGAGATTCACTCATACTAAAGTACACTTTTTCGAATAGGTGTTGCGTCAAACACCGTCTTGTCAGGCGATTGACCGGTAGGTCCTGATACAGTCCTCGGCGTCCTTCCCATCGTTCTTACACTCGGGCTTGCAGAAATCATGCCAGTCGTAGCCATACTGTCCCCAACAAATGGGAGCACCCCAAAACTTGGCGGGATTCAGCATGCGACACTGCGGATCGACATAGATCAGCAGCCATTACGGCTTCACATGAAGGGGTTTGGAGGGGATGGGAAGATGTTTCATACCGTAAGGGCACCCGCCCAAGGGCCGCTTTCACCCACCAGACTTATGGTGACTTGGTCTTTGGGGAGGGATTCGTTCTTCATCCAGATACAGGCCTCTTTGGATCGGATAGTGTGGAATGACCATGACTGGCAGATACAGTGGAAGAAGTCTGCGTTGACGGAGGCGATCCAGGTGCTTGTAGAAAGTAAGCATCGACATTTGTGAGCTATGTAAGAGAGGTTGGAGGCTTACTTGAGGAGAACTAGATAGAGAATCTGGAGCTTCATTGTGGTTTAGAAACGTCTGTGTCAGTGAAAGCTCTGGTGTGCTCGTGGTCTAAGGTATTGAAAGAGTACCACTTAGTGACAGAATGAGGAACTAAATTGGAGGATGGGCAGGAGTCACATTTTTGTACCAATGTCACGCTAGCCTTACTTGAATCATCAACACCGTTGTGGCTGCAGTCTCGCCATCACGGTTCCAGCCATCCATTTTACGAACCTCGACAGCCACATCGCACCAGCATGCCAGTCAACTCTCCCTCACGGGACACCTCTATGGACATATACCGGTTCAACTACTAGGTGCGCACTACCACCAGCACGTTGCTTGACTAAATTTCCGCACTCGGGACTCTCGAAACCCTCTTCTAGATTTCGTGGATTGGAAGGCACCTACTTATCTACCCACATCTTGACTCGTTACACGGCTTGAAGGCCGGCCGTGCGGGTGTGGGGAACGTGGTTCCGGCCCCGCAGTGCCGATCGGCCGGAACTAAGGCACGCACGGCAAGGTAATCTGGAGAGTGGGCCATTGATTGGATTAGTGGCTAAAGTCTTTCACGAAGCCCCTCGGATAATGGGAGATCTGGGACTGCTTTTACCTGGTGAAAAGGGATTGATTTGCCATATATCAATCTGTAACATTGGCCATGCAGCTCTTGTACGTTTTCCGGATATGGCAGTGTCGACATTTACTGACCTCGCCCCTCGTCACGCAATCTTGGTCAAACATTGCCCAGATCTAAGCGCATACTCGCTCACGAAGATCAGCACGATCTTGAGTCTCATTTCACTAATTCAACATGCTACCGACCGCTGCAGTGCATTCCCACATCGTGCCAAATCGTAGACATATGACAGGACAGACAGTGTGTAGTTTCAGCTGCTTTCCTTGACTTGACCCCTGCCAGAAGCGTGCTAGGAAGAAGAAAGGCAGGCCAGAGGAAGTGTATTCTCAGATCGCCTGTGGAGCCGTAAGTCGGGTGATCGGCCAGGCACCTTTCAGTTGAAGTTGTACTCTATGGCCTGGGTGGGAAGGTACCTAGGTCTGCCCATACCCCCGCTAACCGTGCCTGTGCGGGGCAGTTTTTTTTTTTAGCTATGTCTACAGCAGAGCAGTGGGCTATCCGGGTACAGTACCTTAATCGCTGTGCACTTTATAGTGGAAACTTTGGACAAGGAAGCACTGCTCTGCGGCGATTTCAACCTCACTCACCCACGCTAGAGCGGTATCCGATGTCTAAGTCCCAATGCAAAGGCAAGACGGTTGTGCGACGGCACCGAGGCGGCGGGAATGAGGTGCGTGCTCCGGCTTGCCGCCTCTCCACTCGCCCGTAGCGATTCATCGACGCCGTTACGGAAGCGATGCAGGCGAGGATAGCGAAATTCGTCCCGATCGTTACGCCGCCAAGTATCACCGGTCCTGTCCGCAAGTTCGAGGAAAGTATCCACGCCAGCCTTGAATTTGAAGAAGCAGCTCGGCGCAACTGCACCCTACAGAACAACGACGACAAGCTCTACAGCAAGTGGCAATTTCTTCGGCGACAAACGGACAAACTCGTCAAGCAAATCTCGACAATGTCTTACCGCGATTTCGTTGAATCCAGCACAAAGATCATGGCAGGAACCTACGGCTTGGCTCGAGTGGGCGCCCATTGGGACTTGGCACAACCACGAGTTCACATGCCTGATCTCAAGGGCCCAGTGACCCACGAAATCGCAGCACCCTCCCAGACAAGGTCCGTTGTCTCATCAATTCGATCTGGCCCAAGACCAGTACCGGACCAACGGCACCGGTACAAAACTGTCCACCACTCGATCCCGCTCGAACGCAATACTTCTCTCCACAGCAACTCGATTGCGAGGAGATTCACGAGCTAATCTCCGGTATCCCTCGCGGAAAGGCCGAAGGACCGGACGGGATTGCTGGTGAGGCTCTCAAGATGCTGCATGTTTCAAGAGATGAGCAAGAACCCGAAAGTGAGAAGGAAAGCATCATCGCCCCGATTCTTGAACACATCATCAACGCATGTTTTCCCTTATCGCATCATCCAGCGCAGTTCAAACGATCCAGGACTGTCATAGTCGAAAAGGCGGACAAGCCAACGTACGAAACACCGAAGAGCTGGCGTCCTCTCGCCTTGTTATCCTGCATGGGCAAGGTTGTAGAGAAGGCCATGTCGAATCGCTTGACAATACTCTCCCTTGAGCACCGCCTTGTCCCTTACAATCAGTTCGGATTCGCACGACGGTCTACAACAAAAGCGCTCGAGTTGATTCTGAATCGCGTCTACCGATGCTGGAACGCCAGCCCGCGCATGTTTGCAACGCTCATGACCATTGACATGACTGGCGCCTTCGATCATGTCGATCGAGAGGTTCTCCTGAACATCTTGGTTCGGAAAGGTGTCCCTGACTGGATGGTTCTGTACATCTCTTCATTTCTTTCTGATCGACGCGTTGCCTTGTCTATTCCAGGATACACATCAGAGGAGTTCTGGGTCAACATTGGCATTCCCCAGGGCAGCCCTCTTTCGCCTGTTCTCTTCGCCTTGTTCTCCTCTCTTATACTGGACGAACTCAACAAGATCTGGCCGTCGAGTCCATTCTTCCAAGCCATGTCGTACGTTGACGACACTTGCATGGTGGTCACCTCACCCTCCTACGAGGAAAACTGCAAGATCTTGACAACGGCCTTTACCGACCTGATTGCCGCTACCGCGCCGCATGGCATTGCCTTTGGCCCCTCCAAGACACATATCATGCATTTTCAGAATCGCACAGGGAGACTCGGGGGGCCAACTCGAGAACTGCCGACGAACCTGAGCCACCCAGAATCATACCATTGGCAGATCTACCAGACGTTGGTGTGGAAGGGGCAAAGAAGGAGGAGGTGATCAAGCTTCTTGGGGTTTACTTGGACCAATCTTTGACATGGGCCACACACGTAAAGGAGGTGTGTACATCCTGACAAGCTTAATGCAGCTGAGTACGCCGCTGACAATGTGGGAGACAGGTTACCGAGAAGATGGAAGCCAAGATGCGCACCATCTATCGTATTTCCGGCTCGACATGGGGGCCCTCTCTCGCCAGCATCAGACGCCTGTACATCACAAGTGTCCGCCCGATCGCCGCATACGCCGCTCCCGTGTGGTTCCTCTATCGAGACAACGAACGCAGGGTCCGCTGGCAGATCAGCGCCAATTTGGTCACGAAGCTTGACAAGGCACAGGCGGCGTGTCTCCGACAGGTCGCCGGCGCTTACCAGACCACAGCGACCCAGGTCGTCCACCAGGAGCTTGATGTGCCGCCGCTTTCTCTATTCCTTGAGAAGCTCGGCCAAAAACATCGCACTCGCAATCTTGACACCCCGGAATACGGTTCTCTCGATACCGTGTGGGCAACCGGTACCATGCCGAAGACCCTAAGCGCAGCGAACAACGTAGCACACCCATACCGCATCCTCTACAAAGTCACGGCCGCTTCTATTGATTTCGCGGCCCGGAAGCAACTCATCGAACTCAACGAGGAGCGAGCTACGAAAACAGACCGGCGCGGTTTTCCGCTACCGAAGTTAACGTGGCGGAACTTCCTTGACCGACAGCAAGTGCGGGGCAAAGTCATCAACAACAAACTTCAGGAGGCATGCGCGCGGTACTGGCAGAACTACCTCGACGCTCGCCAAGACCGGAGGGAGGATCAGACCGAGCCAAACTTTCGCATCGCCAACCACCGTCCTCTGTCCCTCTCGGAAAAATGGGGCCCAGCCAGCTTGAAATACTATGCCAAGCTCACGCGTGCTGAGAGCACCATGTTGTTCCACTGTAGGACTGGTGTCGTGGGACTCAAGTCCTACCTCTTCTCCATCCATGTTCGTTGCATTCCCTTCTTCTTTGCCGGTCTCTGCCCTTGGCTGACCCTTGTGTCTTCACCAGGTTCGCGACATCGTCGACGACCTCTGCCCGTGCAAGCAGGGCAAGCACACCGTCGAGCATGTCTTCATCCACTGTCCAGATTTGTTAGCTGAGCGGACACGGCTCTATCAGCAAGTCGATCATCATGATTTGAAGAAGTTGCTGACGTGTGATTCCAAGGCTGCTGCCGCGTGGGCTATCCGCTACCTATCCATTGAACAATTCGGCTGGTCTGGGCGGCAAACACCCGACAAAATCTTCCAAAAGAGAGATGGGGCGTGATGGGGTGTCTAGTGCCTCTGCCTCGGAGACTGGAACGAGGGAGACCGGGGGAAGACAGCCTTTGGTGGAACTGCAGGTCATTACTGGTTTGCTTAGTACTCGGGCACTACAATGCATAGTTTGCCCATCCATCATGGGAGAAGTTCTAGTTATGCCTCGACAGTGATAAATACACACACTATCACTTATCCTTTGGGGTCCGGTCCGCCTCATTGGGGGCCATCTTCGCCTTCACGGGCAAGCTGGTCTATCAGGGTCAATATCGAGTTTCTATTGCGTACTTAACAAGACTTCACAACTGACTACAGCCGGCCGCAGCCGTCACCGAGTAGGTCAGTTCACCGCCGGGAACCACAGGGTTATACTAATGCGGCAAGCAGATGCTGTATGCAATCTTATAATTTACTCTCGTTACACGTTACAGGACAGGGAGCTGACAAGTTCATCAGAAGGATCCCGCCGCAACACATTAATCGCCCTTCTAACAGCCGAATACCACCCCTTACTTTCTCTCTTTATCTTATCTAACAACAACCTCTCCCTAATATTCCCATTTAACACGCTCGCCTGGGCTCTTTCTAAGCTCCCCATCATACCATCAAGTCTAGGCTTGTCCACACCACTCTGTTGCATCAGAAGGGCGGCGATGAAGGCGACGCGTATGTAAATTTCTGCTCAAGGTGCTGCAGGATCTTACCTAATGTCAAATCACCAGCTATAATGATGTATCTGTCCGTCTTCCGCAAGTCGACATTGCGGATGTGGTATCTGTTGAGGCGGTCTCTCCACAGCTCGGGGTCGTCTAGTATGATGCTCGTGGGATCGAACAACTTCTGGGTGCGTGTTCTGATGAAAACGCACATGCATCCTCTGACCGTATTTCTTTAGCCATCGAGGAAGCCCCAAGGGTCGACGAGTTGTTGGTGGCGTCTCGGCATTTCGACAAAGTGTGCTTGAGGTAGGAACACAACTGACATGCCGCTTTCTTATGTTTTGTGCTCTTTATCAATGACTCTGGCTCCAAGCTTGATCAGAGGGCGATACATTGGATGCTATGCGAGCGAGTCTTCAGGACTAGAAACCGGTGAATAGGTTGAGTTGAAAATTTGATCGTGAGCTGATCACCTCAGAGTAGGTAGACGGTTGGACAGTGACAGCGACAGCGACAGCGCGACAGCGACAGACGGCGAGGGAAGGTGTGTTACACACATACATGAGCGTGTGCCATGGCAAATCGATAACTGATTCATTCCAGCAGCGTTTTCGACTTCGACAAAGGAAACGAGGTAACGAATGTGTGTGTGTGTGTGTAAGTTTGTCGTCAAAGCCATCCAAACAATCTTTAACCATTACTTGTGCTAACGGGCTCCGTTATTAGGGCAGACATCAGTGGTAAGAGTAAGATCACGACCCGACAGCGTCATTAACGGCTCGCAGCTAACACCGCCATGGCTTGCAGAGGTCGGCATCATTCTTAACGACGGCGACGAGGGCATCTCCGATGCCACACCATTGTGAGCTGCTGTCACCTGGAGTACGTTAATCCCCACAGACCGTGGCGACCAGAAAGATCTATTCTATATAGAGAAAGCTAACATCTTCTGATAGGGGGGCGCAAACTCAGCCAGGTGCGCGGGTATGTTGACGTCTGGACATCAGGAGCCTCGGCAGCACGAAACACTAACAGACAACAAGCAGGCTCACAGGGTGGTGGCGTCGGGCGCCCAACATCGCCGTCAATGATGTAAGTGTCCTGGACATTCATCTCAATTCACCATGAGTCCCTGAAACGGATCTCTTATAATCATTTATGAAACGTATTGCTAATGCCCACTCGACATTCAGCCGTGGTTGTGAACTTTGCAGGAGGGAAAGATAAAAAGGAGGAAGGAAATTAAAAAGAAAATAGTCTACTGAGACAGTGTGAGTATCTAATGATACCGTGTATTAATACCGTGGAAACGATATCGAGAACCGCCCGAGCAGCCAGCAAAGGCAGAATATAAAATCAAATAAAATTGGGCGATACTCCGTCCTTAAAAAAAAAAGATGTTGTTCTACCTCAGCCGTCTGTGATTCGTGATGTACTATAACTATACCGCTTTTCCAGGCCTCCCTGACATATGAAATGGTGAGTTTGCTTTTCCTGTCCATACATCCGTTCTTGACTTTCAGCCACGCTTGCTGTGCCACCTCGTCGGTCTGGGAAGCCCTTGGTTCACGTTAGGTAGTTCAGTTCAGCCACATTACGTACCGGAGAAAGCTGCACATGCGGACACCTTGATCAACCTGCTCACTCAGTCATATATCTAGCCCGCCTGCACATCGAAGACTCAAATCAAAACCGAATTGCCTTCAACCTCTTTTCTTCTACATACCTCGTTGTTTCCGCACAGTCATTTCGACACACTCATTCACTCGCACACGCTCGTTCACTCTCACACACAATGGCTCAAATCGCCAGTTCACGCGTTTGCGACACGCAGGGCGGCTTGGTTTTCTTCAAATTTCCGAATGAGTTGCGCAACTTGATCTACAAATACTATCTTCAGCTTGACGAAGGATACAAGCTTAATCCGCACACCAACAAGCTGCGAACCGGCAACGACAAGCCTATCTCTCTCGACTTGTTGTACACCTGCAAGCGCGCTGCCTTGGAGATGCGAGGGTTACCCTTTCCAGCATAATATCATCACCTTCTCCGCGTTCTGCCCTCAGTCGCAACAAGGCCGCTTCAACGCTGGTCACTTCAGCAACATGACGCGCATGATGGAATGCGAACTACGGGCACTCTTCCACTACAGTCTTGATCCCAGCTTCTTCCCCCGTCAAGTGGTTAAAGAAGTTTTAGACGCGTATCCAGCTTTCGCCCCCATTTTAGACGCGATGAAGGGAGAAGAGTGGCACAGTTTGGATATTCATCCTCCTTACGGCAAGACTCCGTCGACTTTTCGCAACTTTGTCCGTTTCACTCTAAATACGATCAAATCCCACCGATGCCTCTTTGAGAATCGCAAATATGAACAGATCATCGATCGGCGTCGGCAGTGTCTTGAGAATGGACGTTATCTCGAGCGGGGAAATATTCCGCTGAGCCAACTGTTTGGGCTCAGACCCCAGAACTGGACAATTCCCACCCAAAAAGATGTCAATGACATGACTATCCTCTCTGACGGGCTCGAGACTTGCACCGTATTTTGCGACGATCTTTACGATAAGCGCGAGCCGCCCGTGGATCTGACCAGATTTTGTTACTCAGCAGTTGTCGGCGCTATTCAGTTTCTAGATTCGATGCTCCCATCGTCTCGCGCCGATGTTCGCCGCATCAACCTCATAGAAGATCGACCGTCACTATCTTACCCGGAAAGCCACGGTTTGGGGTTGATACGGTTCTGCCAAGAGAATCCGCTATTACGCATCGAGCGTCACGTCGGCTTATGGGATACTATATTCCAGGGCGATCCCATGAGTATGGAACCTGGAGAGGAGGAGCTGCCCCGGAGGGAGAAGATGACAGACGAGATATCTTATTCTATAGCCACCTGGATGGTAGAGGCCTTGGCTTTACCTGCAGCTGGGATGCCTCAGGATGCGTTCAAGTTGATGTTCGTTGGAGATTCAGAGGGAGACTGGGAGTGTGAGCAAATCTTCCGCAAGATCGTCCTACGAGACGCCGCGTGGCAGGAGGCAAGGGACGAATGTTTCAAACGAGGTATTCTACCACCGCTCTCTTGGGCGGAGAGGAGGGCTGGAGCCTGGGGAGGGTCTTACGATGATGATGCATTCACAGGCTCGAACCCCCTTTGTCGTTGCTTTCTCTTCGAAGACTTTCCGCGGGCGGTGCATGAACTTCTCAATGGAAGTTCGCTCATCACCTGCAACTTCAATCCAGGCGAAGCTTGGAATCTCGAGAAGATCATTGAAAAACGGCGATCGTGGTCTTTACGCAAGTGGAACCGCAAATGGTCGCGTGGGAACCAGTCGTACAGAAGAGGCCTCGGCCCTCACGACGCCTCAAATTGAGCGCCTTCTCCATAACGCGCGCGGTGAAAGCACCTACACCAACCGCTTAGGCATGAGTCGGGGAAGGAGACGCGCTAGATTAGATGGAGACGATCGACGGGGGGAATGCGCCTTGTCAAGATCTGACGGCAAATGTCGACGATTCTCATCGTACAAGAGATAGGAGTCGAGAAGTGGAACTCCAGGATGAATTGGAGTTATTGCAAGACCTGTCTCCGTCGCACGATGCGCAATGCTCTATTATATACCTAGGTCTGATTAGAGATCAGTCCTCGTTCAATCAAATATGCATAGACTTGCGGTTGTTCCTCTAGACATTCTCCCAGAAGATCCTCATCGCTCATATCAAGTTTGGCACCGTGATCAATGAGTATTCGGACCGTTCCAACGCTCCCGTGAACCAAGGCGATTGACAAAGGTCCCTGTCCCCCATTTTCCAAGGCAGACACGTCACTTCCGTGTTGTAAAAGGGCTCGGATCGTTTCTTCAAATTCTGCTCCGAAGGCTGCAACATGCAAGGGCGTTTGCATCATCCTGTCTAGCCCCTCCACATCCGCACCGAGCCGAACAAGTTCACCTACAATAGTCTTCCCTGCTCCCAAATGGGCGGCGAGATGAAGCGCCGAATATCCCTTTGGGTAGACATTCCAGCGCTCTTCAACAGCCTCAAGCTCTTCGTAGCTTGATTCCTCGTTAAACTCCCAGGCTTCGGCTGCTTGCAAATAGGAATCGATTGAAGCGGCTTTGGAAGAGAATTGTAAGAAAGCCGCAGAAATGCTTTCCACGTCAACATAAGCCATCCATAGGCTCAAGTTTCGTGCGGTAAACGATAGTAGTGGATGTTCTTTGAAGCGGCGTTTGAGCGCTGTAGATGATCCACATGCGCCGGCTGTGAACTCTTGTTTCGACAAATATCGCAGGATTATGCCGGCAATTGTGTCCGTTGGGCAGTGTGTCGCACGTCTTTCATCGAGATGCTCTGCCAGAAGAGGAGACCTGATGCCCCATACCTGTATTTGCTCATTGATAAAGACAAAGTCCGAGCACATGCGGGCAAGATCCTCCGTCGTTGCTAACAAGGCACCTGCAAGCCACTGATCGCTCATACGCAATGCATCCAAGATAGCCTCGCCATTAAGATGGTGTCTAGTCTTCTTGGCCGCAATGAGAAGATAGAGAATCGTCATGATTAGGTCCCCGTGTGCAGACTGAGTGATGCTAGCCACGGCGAGCTCGCAAAACGTGGCGCCCTTCTGCAAAGCATTCGCCTGAGAGAGTTCCCGCGAAACAGCCTCCAAAACATCGAAACCCGTTGGAGATGCTGAATGGAGTAAGTCTTGACTAGATATGGGCATGAAACTTGATAGCGTTGATCATCAGCGAATGCCAGACAGGTTGTGGTCATGAATATGTGCGCGCACTTACCGGTGGTCGAATAGCCCGGCCCATCGCGTCAACGTTTGTGCCAGCTCGGATTTGGCTAGCTCTCCAGCCTGTACATCGTGGTTGCTTTGAAAAGACTGCTGGAGGTATTGAATCATATCCTCCTGGCTTGCCCGCACCTCTAAGCTCGCTCCTTGGAATCTTCGTAGGACCTCGTCAAAGGGCTTTGAGCGGCTCAACAGAACAATCTTGATGGGCGACTCTTTGTCCGAGAGACGAAGCTTGGCCATGAAGTCGATAAACGCTGCGGGATTTGGATCGTCTAGACCGTCCAAGACGATGTATATCTTTTCAAAGTATGCTTCGAGTTCGGCCCAGATTACCCGGAAGTTGTCTAACCACCACGTCCACACAGTTACTGGTGTAGAGATGAGCCTTCTGAGGGTCTCGGACGACTCGGGCAGTTGGGATACAATCTGTCTGGCAATGGAAGTAATCGCATCACCAAAGTCTGCCAATGAGTGATAAAGTCCTGTGTTTTCAAACTGTACACAAGCGACTGCAGACTTTATGCTGGAATCGAGCTGGGTTGCTGAAAGGTGTTCGACAAGGAGTGAACTGTGGGAAGTGAACCGTCAGGGCCATTTGAGGCAAGAAACTAAGCGCCATACCTTATGCAACTCTTTCCGGACGATGCTGGAGTGCAATTAGCGACTGAAGAGCAGCGCATATTGCGCAAATTCATCAATTTGATGGAATCGAGCTGTGCGTACCATGACCACGAACCCAGAGAAACTGCGGTCCCTGAGACTTGGCCCAATGCTGTACTTGTGGGCTTTGTAAAAACCATTCACCAATGGTCCCTACACGTCGACCAGCAGTTTCCTGAAACTTCCTTGAGGAACGATCACCTGGGCTGAGTCTCTCCAGGAGAAGGCGTCTTTGGCGGGTGATATCCATTCTGGGTGGTTCCAGGAAACAATTTCAATACTGTATCGTAACGATGCCAGCTACGGGCACCAGTGTGAGGTTTTATAGTTTAGCTACTTGAAGAACAGAATGAATCAGGCTTGCATGCGGAAATATCAATTACCGGTCATCCATCTGGGCAATACGTGAATATGTACGTGCTCTAGGTAAGGATACTAGATACGCTAAGATGCTGCTGCCTACCCTAGGCTAGGCACATTGGCATGGACTAGCCTGGACGTGGGCCAATTCACAGTTGTGAGATTTCCGCCTGGTTGTTTCCATTCTCCGCGTCACATCGACGTTCATCTGACATAGCCTTCAAGACTTGGCTTCTCATCAATCAACCTCTCTGTTCATTTGTTGTATGACTGGCGCACATTCCACCGGTTAACCATTTTGTGTACTTTGACGGATACCCATCACAAGAGATAACGGTCAAAGTCGAATGCCGATTCTGCTTGGCCTGCGGCGAGACCAGCCGCCTTGAGCGCGTTCCAATTCACATCGTTGATTCCCACCTCATAGTCCCATCCGTGGTGGGGGTCAGGGTTGGGCAAGATCTGCCAGTAAAACCACGGAATCCCGGCAGCGTCGATACTCGCAGCCCAAGTACGAATGTTGGAGTCTCTGGTTCCAGTACCAATGGGATTGCCGCCGTTGCAGTTGTGGTTCGGGGCATCCGTGTAACAGGCGCCCCATTCTTGCATGATGAGCTTCTTTCCAGCATTCTTGGCTTTGGTGACGTAGGGCTGAAGCTTTGACGTAGCGAAATCGTCAACTCCGTAGGCGTGGATGGCAAGAACGTCCAGGGCGCTGCAGCTGAAGTATGGGTCTAGTAGAGAGTTGTCGACGTAGGCACCGCCTCCGGTAGTGACTACAATATCGGTACTGCCGTTGAGGCCTTGCTTAATTGCCTGTGCCATCGTGCACTGCCATGACGCTAGGGCTGATGGGTTCCCCTGGAGACGTCGTCAGTCTAGTCATATCGCCCGTCGGCGGAATGTCGTCTTACCTGTGGATGCATAGCTTCGTTTTGCGCCTCAAAGGCAAAGATGTACTCAGAGCTTTGAGCCCAGGTCTTGCCATTCTTGGGGTTCACATGTCCAAGAACATGCGCAATGCGCGTCTTGAAGTACCCCATCGCTTCATTGTTCGTGTAAAAGTCGCCGGTGCCGTACCACTTACCGTAAAAGTCAGAGTTTGCTTCGAGAGCGTTGTAACTGTGGATGGAAACGAGCAGTTTGATGCCGTAGTCGTGGGCATGAACCATGAAGTTGTCGAGGCGGTTGAGTACGGTGTCGTCCCACGCATCGGGACCGTCACCCTGGAGGCTGTTGAAGTTGTCCAAAGTTGTGCCCTTTTCGCTTCCCGATTGGCCTATGACAAGAAATGAATCAGTATGCACACATCATCTTTGTCGTTAGGCCAAAGGTTTCTTACCATCAAGCCATACTCGTAGAACCTTGACACCAGCGCTCTGAAGGCCTTGGAGAAGTGTGGTCTGTTGCTGATCATTTAGGCCAGCAGCATAGTAAAGATTCGAGGCGGAGAATGACTTGGCTGCATAGCAAGTGGCGGAGAGAGACAAATGCAACAAAGCCGCTATGACTGTGGAAAGCTTCATTTCGAATCTCGGACCCAGCTGCAAAGGTTACGCTAAAACTAAGGGTTGAGTAGTTAACTTGAGATAGAAGAAAGTTTTGTAGCTTGAAGCCTTTTAAAGTTCCAGGGCCGTGTGCAATGAGTTCGCTAAGAAGCAGGGAGTGGATGCGGTTGATAAGAGTTCGCGCCTGGTTCATCATTTGTTCGAGCTACTACCTCGGTTTCATTGTCTACTAAGTCCGGAGTCAGGTCAACTCGCGTGACACGGGCGTATATCGGGAGTATCAAAGCCCGCTTGTCTTCGACGTCTGGATACGCCATGTCTTGTTCAATGATTCAATGAGGGGCTCACTGCAGGCTTCTACCAAGGGGCTAGGATCTGCGTAGTGCCAGCTGGATAGGCACCCATGTAAACACCTTCCCAACTCTTCCTGCGGTGTTGTATACTTCCGAACATGGTGCGCAAGCCACAACTTCTAGGTTTTGTAGGAAATTATATTGAGTTACATGCCGTGCGGGACGTATTCACAGCTGGTTCGTCGCATATCCTAGCGAGGGTTTGCAACTCGTATAGGGATGTCTATTCGATGCAACCATCTATCCTCATTACGTCTTTCATCGCTTAGCACCACTTCTTCGGTGAGTCGGGTTTTTTGTACAGCCGAAGCGCTTGAAGCTTGCTGTGTCAGGGCAATCTTTGATGACCTCGACGTCTCTATTTTTAAGCAAGGGCTCGGTAGGCAGTAGGGTTGGCTGTGAGAAATAACTCATCTCTCCATCACTTCACCTATGTCAACTGCTTCGAAACTGGTAGGCCTTAGCATCACCCATCCCTCTGTGTCCAGATTGGATCCATTCCTAGATAGACTGTTGCCGCAGAGACCTTGGGTTTGGTGATCACTAGGGGTGCCTCGCCACAGAAATAGCTACATCTGAAGCTGTGTAACGAGTACGTTATCAAGGAGGGAATGAAGCAAAAGAAATTTCGACAGATTTCACGATGCAAATAAACGATCAGTTCAATGTAGATCAGTGATTGAATTGCTTTGAAAGAAGAACATGCAGTGGTTTAGCCTGGAACATGCATTCGTCTTGCTAATCTTCAGTCCGCAGCTGAGTTCTTTCCGCCAGTCTACCGTGAGCATCCCCATTGTATTGGTGTGTCTTTCAACTATCTACATACTGGATAAGATACGTCCTACTCAGTTAGTTTGAAGTCTGCGGTAGCTTCCAGGTCATTTTACAAACTGAGGAAGGCGGCAAAGTTGAGTTTCTGACGAAGGGCCATCTGTAAACCCTCACCCTAAACCGTTCTCCTGTAACTTCGACCACCCAACTTTTACATAGATCAAATCCGCACTGTGGCGAACGGAAACGATGCATACTTTCATACTCTGCTTATGTACCACCGCCTCATGAGGTTTGAACGCACTGATTTCGGTACCCTGCGGCATCCTTGACCGCTATGCGTGCATCCGTCACACAGCTGATTATCACCGAATCGACAGTAATTCGGCTGCATACAGGTCCTCACCGCCGGAAAGAACTCGGGACATACAGGCTCTATGTCAGAGCAACAAACACCGGACCCCGCCCTTGCTTGCTGTATCGGTTGTGCATGTGTAGCCAAGAGCGATAAGGCTAAAACATTGAGACCGGTGAAGATTTCTCCAATATAACCCAAATTTATATCCCTTCTTTCGTAGCGTTCCTAACTATTGATGGGATTACGCGAATCTCACACACCCGGTTGTGCTCCTGATTCGAAATGTTTCGCCCGTGGCCTACTCAGCCCCAACCAGACTTCAACTGGTTTCGATTCAATAACGCAACTGGCACCAGACTTGGCGTCAACTTCAACAACTTCGGGCCCAACCCGCGCGGCCCTTCCACTTCAGCCTTTGCGAATCCAGGACCCCGCCTCTTCGACTTTTCGCAACTCTTCAACATCACTAACAACAACTTCGGCCCCACGCCCCTGCGCCCCAACCAGCCAGGCCGGATCCGCAACCGAGTCACAGTCCTCCTCCCCGATGGCACGCAGGTTCTGCTCGAGCGCGATCTACTCCACGAACACCTCCCCCGAACCCGAAACTTCATGGAGCAGGGCCTCTTCCCCGTCCCTGAGTTCCTCCAAGGCTACGAAGACGGCTTCATGGGAACCCTGATGGATCCCCAAAATTTTGACCAGGCCTTCGCCCGCGGCGCGACGTTCATCTTCAGACACCTCGAGGCACTAAGCCAGGCATACGCGCCGCCGTACGGGGCCATGGGCGCGGGTATGGGCGTGGGCACTGGCAGTCGCGGCGCCGCCGCCTTTGACTTGTTCGCCCGGCCGCGCTACCTCCTCGCGAATGCCCGCGATCGATTCGTGACGGTACGGGAGATATTCTGGCACATCTTCATTCTCTGTTGCGTGCTGGACCAGGACCGGGCCTTTGGCTGCTCCGATTTGCTGGCAAGACCGATTGCAGAGTTCCTCCTCGACTTTTTGCCGAGCGTGGAGGCATTTCTGCCTCCCACGGCGATGCAGATTCTGTTTGTGGGATATGCTCGCATCTTTCGCGAATCGATATTTGAAATGGAGTTGTTAAGGCAGCTGTGGGAGTCGATGGATGTCATTGGCCAGACACACATTAGGGGAATGATGGGACCGCAGTTGGCGGCGAATGGAATGGGAAATAATGTGCACAGAGTTTGGACTGCTCTCAGACATCTTGGTCTGGTCTGACCTTCTTTTCCGATGTTCTTTCCTTGCCAGACATCTTGTTCTTTTTCGCTGTTCTGATGGTTTCTTGACCAACTCAGGTGTATGAGTATCTCTTCCCGATTCATTTGCTTTCTGAACTTTGATCAGCCCAAAAAGCTGCTTTTCCTCCTGTTCTTAATAGCGATCTCACAAACTACGCCTGCTAAGCAATCTCGGTGCCCGTACCCAAGCTACCCCCCATGTAGTTGTCCAAGAACGTGAAATCCAAATTATTCAGTGCCCAACTTTCCTCACATGGGTACTGTACCAGATCCTGCAGTTCCTTATCTCCAGGAAGCGGAACGACGGCGTCTTGACTTCCGGTTGAGCATGGGCGCTCATCTTGGAGACGACTATGGTACAGAGGTTGCGAATTCGATCCGGTCGGTATCAACGTCCCATTAGACAACCGTTCAATCCTGATGACCCAAAAGTGCGGTAGACAGATGTTGAGGACAGTGTCTTGATCCGTCAGCTTCACTCGGTACCCAAGATCGTCATCCAGGAATGTTTCTGGCGAAAACGCGACCTTGTATCTCACTCCCAATGTTATGTCGTTTTGGATGCGCAAGAGATGTTTGAGAAGTGTAGCGACTCTCGTAGCGATCTCATCGTTATACTGATCCACAAGTTTCTGCATCACGACCAGAGCCTGCTCCACCATGCCCCGATCGCTGAGGCGTTGATGTGCAGAGAAGTAGGAACTCCTTCCGTCCGTCGTATCTTGAGGGGCGTTGCAAATGTGCGCTAGACACAATGAGGTACACGATAGAAATGCTATGAGGTCAACACCTCGGCAATAGAATCGCGCCGGTCTAGTCGCGCGAAAGGACAAGAATCTAGAAAGGATCTCTCGGCTTGCCGTCACGGCTGTCGCTCTGTCGTGCTCTGATATTGGGTGTAAGATGTTGGGGAAATGGAGCTGGAGAAGGAGATGATAGTACATAAAGTGGTCGTTGAACCGTAACGTTTCCCGAATCTTCTCCAGATGGCCCTTCTCCGAGCCGAGGGTCGGAGCGACCCACCACTGTGCTGGCATTACGGTTGAGGCTTCTTGCAGTAACTTGTCAATAGTTTGGGCCTTTTCGTAGTCAAATACCTCCGAAGGATCCCGTTGCAGTAAGCGTCCGCAAGCGACAGTGCAGAGGCGAAGAAACCGATCTAGTGGAAGACATCCTTCCAATGTATCTGGGCGAGCGTAGACGTCCTCGAGTGCGCTCTGCGGCAAGCCCAACATGAGGGAGAGGTAGCGATCGAACTGTACGAGACGGAACCAGAGATCATTCGGTTCAATGATCGAGCCGACGAGGGAGCGCGGCTTGATGCCCCGACTGAGGCCGAGCATCTGCGCAATTGCGACTCCCCGGCGTGCGGCGAGCCATGAAACACGCAGATTGCCAGCGTAGTTCTCATAGAGGCCCTCCAGCATGATGCATTCAAGGCCTTCCAGAGAATCAACTAGATCATCCTTGCATGTGACCAAGTCGTGGGCCGTCTTTACCGCTCGTGACATCATGTTGTGCCAGCTGGTGCTGAGCTTCTCTAGGTGATGGGCCGCGGAATATGGCATACCCTGGAGGAACGAGGCTAATATCAATAGACTCCTCGCGATGAGCACCGGATGTGACCCAGTGGGCGGTAGTTGTAGTAAAGCCGCGGAGAGCGGAAGGGTGGATGGGTTTGGGCTTGTCCTAGTGCATATGACAGCTCGAATGATTTGCGAAGTTTCCACCGGAATCGCCAAGATGATGGCCATGTCTTCCGGACTTGGCCATGCAGCGAAAAGCTGCGTGGAGATGATTTCGTCTGCTTGTGTGGACGATGCAGCGAGAGTTGGATGTGCTAGTCGCTCCGCTACGAGGCGCACAGGCGAGACGCTCCTTTGAGTTTGTGTTTCCTAGACGATCAGCTTTAGTGTCGTGCGATGTGCAAATACAAACACGTACCACCGTTTTTTCAGCTCGAGCATCATGATTTCGAGATTCTGAGCAATGGGGTTGAGAGGTTGCGGTTGAGAGAACGGCGGGGGAAGCGGATCGCCTAGGCGCGATCCTTTCATCCCAGATCCGGCTATGAGATCCAGCTGGAGAGACCGGTCGATCTTGAATGCGGTGCTCGCTTTCGGTCCCTGATTTTATCAACTGCCTCACCAGCGCCTCAACTTGGCCAAGTCTGTCTACGATGTGCTTGTTGCTGCCAGGAGGTGGAGGCAGATCAGCGACATCTTGACTGACACAATCACTTCCGCGACGCTTACAGCCATCACAGATGTTCTGCGTGGAGGGCGAGAATGTACAGCGGGCTTTGCGTCGTTTGCATTCCCAACAGCTCTGCGTCCCCTTGCGCAGCTTTCGCCGTTTCGGCGCCGGGGCGGAGTCGGCAACTGGAGGCTCCTCGGCCGGGATTCTTCCAGTTGCGGCCATCATGATGCTTGATTCGACATACTCAGCATATAGCCTGGGATCATTGTTGTCAAGTGTGACTCGTAAGAAAGTCCAACAGGCGTATCTTTGTTCGACCGCCGGTTTGGCGGCGGAGTGTAGCGGCGATCAGCTGACAAAGGAGAGAACGTTGTCCATTAGTAATCCCCCGCCATTCTCCGCCGCAGCACCGGTGAATCGGGCGGAGGGTGGGGCTAATAGACTGTCGAAGGCTGGAGATACGATTTGATACCTAGCGGTCTTACACATCCTACCTGTAGTCCTCACAAGTGTTGAGGCCGGACGGGAAGACCGCATGAGCGGCGGAGCCTAGGAAGACATCTGGGATGGAGATATGAATCGTCTGTAACGATATGTAATGAGTTATGTATATATATATATATTCCGCGCCGTTCGCCCTGTGATGCTGCCTTCAATCTACCTTCAATCTTGCAAAGTCCCAATAAGCGTAGGATCGACTATCCAAAGAAGGACAACAATCTAGAGTCAAGAGTTGAGAAAACCAACCCCCACGAGTAGACCAAGGCATGAAAATGGTCCGAATCGCGATTGCTGGCGGCTCTGGCAGTAGGTTCCGACAACTTTTCAGTCTTTCTAGCCGCCGACTAATGAAGGCCTTGGTTAGATGTTGGACGAGAGATCCTAGATGCTCTGGTAGCTAGAGGCAAGCACGAAATCTTGATTTTATCTAGAAAAGTTGCTTCAATCCTGTCCCCCACGCCATATTTTATCAACAATTAGCTGACGTTTGCAGGATGTCCCTGCCACCGATTTTGGCCCAGGAGTTAAATGGATCAAGACAAATTACAACGATGTTGCCCACTTGTCTCAAGTGCTAGAAGGGGTTCACACTGTTCTCTCTTTTGTCGCCGGACCCGTCGATCCAACGAACGTCGCACAGAGAGATACGCAAAAGAATTTGATCGATGCATCCATCAAAGCTGGCGTTAGACGATTTGCCCCAAGCGAGTGGGCTTCGTGAGTCTTCTACATCATGCCTCATGCATCTACTTCGTGTCTGATTGATCTAGTTCCAAACTGGAGTACATGTTCTGGTACGGCTTCAAGGAAGAGACTCGAAAGTACCTCGCAACCGTCAACAAAGACAAGAAGGTATTCGCATTCTCCAGTCAACTACCCCAACCCTGACCCGGTACACGTGACTCATCGAAGTTGGATACGCTAGGTCCTCGAATACTGTCTGTTCCAACCGGGATTGTTCACCAACTATATGACATATCCGTTCAGCTCCTCCAAGCATGTTCAGCTCTTCGAGACACCCTTTAACTTCTATCAACGTCGCGCTCTTGTCGTTGATGGAGGTGAAAACGCCATTATTACCTTTACGACCGCACAGGATCTCGCTAGAGTTGTCGCTTTAGCTGTGGAGTATGAAGGCGAATGGCCTGTCATCGGCGGCGTCCAAGGAGCGCAGGTATCAGTCGCGCAGCTCATTGCGCTAGGCGAGAAGATACGTGGTACGTGACTGAACCGTTACCCACGATCCATCTTTCTCTCGGACATTTTGTTTTTTTCTGTGGACAAGTCACTGATATGCCAACAAAGGCGAGCCTTTCGACGTGACCAAGCTCAAGTCAGACGACCTCAAAGCAGGGGTAGTCAAGGCTCCTTGGTTCCCCAAGGTTGAGCACCCATCGATACCCCCCGAGACCTTAGATGCCGTCGCTCCTAGCCTGCTTTCTGGCATGCTGCGGGGTATTGTGGCTGGAAACCTAGAGTGCTCTGACGAGTGGAACCGGCTCTTGCCTGAGTACGAGTTTACTCAACCGGAAGACTTTCTGGCCACCGCGTGGGCGGAGATTGATGCGGGAGCCACGACCGTGTTCATGTCCTACTAGTGACTTTGAGATTTTCAGAGAGCCATGATCTTTAGCCAGCACTACATGTACTCGCGACCTTCTGGGCATAAGGTACAGCAATCGGGTCTTTGCGGCTAGCCCTCCAAGGCTCTAGAAGTCCCCAAAGACATTGGTAGGGCGGATTGAAAGGTCAAAAAATCGCCCTGGATAGCACATGAAATGCAAATAAACTTAAGGGTCACGTTGAGGGCATAACTATGAGACAAAGGGCTCATAGAAAACTACATGGAAAAGCACAGGTGAAAAAGAATTAGGTTATCTCATTACTAATGTACTGGATGGACCTATGAAACCGGTTCGCTACATTCGACTGCGCCACTCGAGATGCGGTAGTATACATAGACTATTAAGGTAGAACCTGTCGTGGTGTATATAGGAAGGTTTCGACCTTGAGTCCCCAAACTTTTGGCGTGTTCCATTTTCAAAGCCTCAAGGCAGGAGCACAGTCGGGGCAGCTATTCCTGGAAATCCCGTGGCGGCAGGTCTTTGACCTTATTGGTATGCACATTCTGGTAAGTGTTGGGATGTAAATGTGGCTGGCCTTTGGCGTTTTAAGAAGCTCGATGAGGTTGCTTTAGTAAGGCTAAATGATTGGGTAGATGAGAGCTTCTTGAGAGATACTTGTTCAAGTGTGATAATGAAGAGACGTACCTCCATGTTTCCTCCTTGATAGATAGGGTGTATTTATATGTGTTCCTAACGCTCATAGTGTTGAAGTGAATGTGATAGATGCAATACCGCCGCGGTTCACCGACCAGCTGATGTTCGCCGCCAGCTAAGGTACCCATACTGGATATGGCAATCAATTGAGATTGTGATTCACACTCATGAGCCATTCTATCTGCCCTTATGAGGAAAGAGTTTTGTTCCCGTTTAAATTCCCATTTATAGGTGAGTCGGAGCTGAAGGCATCTGCACGACATAAGCACTAGGCAAAGAAGGAGCTATTCCCGGCGATGATGTAGCCATCGATCACAATTAAGGGCAAGGCTTTTGCCACAGTCTTTAGCAGCCCGAAAGCTTCAACGGAATCTTGGTTGTGCAGACACTGACTCACGAACTTATCTATAATATATAGATGTTGTTTTGGAAGAGAAAACAACTTGTCGCTCGCAAATTTTGGTTCGGGTAGTGATGAGACTGATCAATCACAAGGCCACACGAGTCTTGAGAAAACCACCGAAGCTGTCAAAGAGTGCCTGATCATGCCCCTCCCTCCACCGGCACCTCAGGATAGTTCTCTCTCGTCCAACATCCAGCGCAATCTCGAAACCAAGCTTGCATACCTCAGAGTTCGACAACCCCTCGATGGCAGCCTTGCCCTCTCGTTCCTCCCGCATCTTCTTCCGTCTCCAGGCGCGACTCCACACGTTCTCTCGCGCCCTGCCGATACCGAGAAGCTTCTGACGGTCCCATTCCCAGGAGACCAGTTCCAATGAAGACATGAGCTCTTGGATCTTGTCTTGCAGCTTCCCTATCTCTGTGCCAAGCGGAAAGGTAGTGACCTCAGATTCCACACTCGGAGGGAGCAGCTTCTTCCAAATTGCAGCCTTCATGCCCCTCGCGGCCTTCTCCGACGGCCTCATCGTACCGAAGCTCCACGCAACGGCCCACCGTCTCGTTTTGTTACCTTGAACGAATTCCGTCACTGCGTAGTTGTCGATGCTCTTGTCTTTCAAAATTGCGATAAACTCCTCGAGGCTCGATTGTTTCCCAAACATGGACGTGTACCATTGGACCCTCTCGCGCAGGATGAGTGATTCCTCGAGGATCTTGGACACGAACTTGACTTCGCCGCCGTCTGTCACCATCTCCACTGGGGCGCCGGTGCATGCCGTCAGAGGAGGGCGCGACTTTTGCTTCGCCGAGTTGAGGAGGTCGTCTTCGGATGTGTAGAATGGGGGATTCGTCATGACGAAGGTGAGCGACTCTGTGCCCAAAGCGGCCAAAGGGATCATGGGATCTTGAGGTGCACGAGCAATGATGGAGATGCGACTTTGAAGGTTATTCAACTCTACGTTCTTTTCGGCGAATTCCAGACTCTTTGAGTCAATGTCTGCTGATAATCAGTATCTCAACAAAAACATCCGAGAGACAGTAATATACCCGTCGCGAAGAAGGACCATTTCCGCTGGGTACATCCCAGAAGCGGGTAGATACAGCTTGCTCCGGTGCCGATATCGAGCCCGAGGATTTTCTGATCCGGATCACCGTAGGTAGTGCTATCTAGTAGGGTCTTGAGCCAAAGAAGGTAATTGTGGCGGTTTGGTACCTTTTGCTGTCAGCAGTGTGATCAAGAGATGTCCCAGACGTTTAGAGGAGTGGACCCACTGGTGGACACAAACGATCGTCGGGTAGCTCAATATTCAGCCCAAAGTCAGCTTTCAGTAGCGTCTTTGTGAGCTGCATCACGGCACATGGATCATTGAAATCAAGATTTCCACGTTTGAGCCTGAGTGAAAGTCGGTCAGTTGAGGTAAAGAAGAGTCTCCTGATCTTGTCACGCACAGAGTGCCAAATTTTGGGTCTTGGCGGCCTAGCTTCCCAAAGTCAGGTTCCGTCGAGTAGAGGTTACGGAAGTAGACGTCTGCATGAGGACCGGGCTCCGGTAGTCGACCCGCGAGTCCGCGATCAGCTCTTCGAATCAAATTTTGCAAGCTGAAATCGTTGGCTGCGGAGGGAGTGGTCTCCGAGCTTCTTCGTCTTTTGCCTGTCATGGCTCTCTGGGGTGGTTGGTGTCTTTACTCGATCCACCGTCACCAAGCGAATTTTGGATCGAGACCGGTAGCAAACGACAACACACAAGATGTTCGAGAGAGTATCAAACACTCTTGTAAAAGTGATCAACGAGAGGGTCAATATTAAATTCGGCTCAGCTGATGGTATCACAGTTGCTTTGGCTTCGACATTCGCGACATGTTAGTGAAGAGAAATTATTACTGGTGGTAAGTTCGTGAGAAGTGGAGCAAGTCGGAGGGAAGATTGGATAGACGAATATGCGCTAGTGATTGGCGAGTCATCGCTATAAGCAGTACCAGCGTTCATCCTGAATAACACGTCTCCTAAAATTCGCCGTCTACTACGTGTATTATAGAACGTCTTCTCGCAGTCACTCAAATGCAAGGGTTGCCGAGTTAGAAGTTTCAGTCATTGCCTTGGTCGAATTTTCTCTGCTTCTAGTCACAGTAGAACCTTTCATGTATCGACTCGGGCCTGGGGTGGCCGACCGAAACAGAGGTAACACAGGAAGGTGGTTCAACTTGTCGAAATATTCAGAGACCAGCCTTGATGGCTTGGTGTTTCGAGCTGGTGATAGACCGGAAGTGCTATCTTGTGTCGTAAAGTACTGATGACCACAAACATGTCTGTATTTGATTCTTCAAATGTATAAAGCTCCGAAAACAAATCGAAACTTGCACGCTTTCATGCTATGCAACGCTGTCCTTTTCTCATATCCGTCATACATGCTCACATATGCATCATGCCTTGCGTAAATCACTGACCCCACATGAGAACTCTCCACCGCCAGCCTTCGAGAAGCTTCATGTCCTGGTCTACAACCTCAACATCGCCTCTCTCGATCTTGGCACTTAGTCGCTTTAATCGCTTGGACACGGTCTTGGCCACCTGCAAAGAAACCTCATTGGTGAAGACGTAGAGTACGGCAAAGACAAAGAAGGCGATGCTGGCGAAGCTGTTGCGGCCCAGGAGACTATCCTTGATGCGGGCTACCAGTGCTTTGCTGCGCCAGAATGCGTACTCGGTGCTGTTAGACGCTTGGACGTCGGTTTCCGTCTTATCAGAAGGGCGGCGGAAGATGCGCTTCACGGCTGGGATGAAGGTTGCTCTATAGGCAGTTGTCAGCGAGGTCCCACGATCTGCCGTGTCATGAGATCTTACACAGCCCCACCGATGAGCCAGTTTCTCCAGCGGTGATTTTCGCCATCTTTGATTAGGGTTCCAACCTCCTTTCGCAAGACCTTAAGATCACCTAGCAGGACACGACCTTGGGCCCTGATCTGATCCTCCAACTCTAACGACATGGCACCATCCAGTCGGCCCCTCTTTCTTTGCAGAGACAAATACTCCCGAAGAGCAAATTGGGTCCCGGTCTTGACCGTTTTCAGGTCCTGCGTCGTCGTAGTAAGAGGGTTCAGGGCAGCTGAAGGGCGCGGACCCTCCACCATGCTAGCCTTTTGAGGGTAAGGATTTGGATAGGCTGCAGGGCCAGACATGTGCTCAACTGGAGCTATACTCGTCGGTCCAGGAGGCGGTCCTCCATAGACTGTCCCAGGATACGGAGCCGTGGGTGTGGTAGACTGAGGCGGCCGAGAGTACGGGTCGACTGAGACCCCCGGCGGCGCTCCAGACGGTGGTGGAGGGTAGGAACCGGGTCCAGTGTACGGACCAGGCGCCGTTGCAACCGGCCGGCCGTCCATGGTCTCGGGAAGCAGGACACCCTAGGGTTACTTAGCGGCGGTGAGAGATAGTGTCTTTCGGGTTGCGACTAGAGCAGAGCGGATCAGGCGGGAGTGGAGGCGTGTCTCTCAGATCAGAGCACAACCGCAACGAAAGAACAACAGGACAAAAGCAAGGAACAAAGAATGGAAAGTCTATGGACAAGGTATGGGGATAATATGAGCAACGAGAAATTAATGAGGTGGCGGGGGAGTGAACTTGGAGAAGAGCTGGAAACAACTCAGCTCACTGCAGGGCGAAGGCGGAGGGAAGGTGACGGGAAGGTGAAGGCGGCATAAAGGTGGGGGCTTGCCAGCGAACGGGACCCACTGCGGGATGTGGGTCCATCACACCGTTCCAAGTGTGGCGCTAACTCGAGGCCTCAGCCACACATTGGCAGCTTCGCTTTTTCCCGCGGCGTCACTTTCTGCCAGAGCTCAACCAGGTGTGAAGCCTTTCCAGTCTTTCGCAAAGCCAACACCACCGCGCCGTTGCCAATTCCCTCTACAGATACACAATGCCCGACCCAGCGAGCTCACGGTTTACGCCGTCCAACAAGACAACAACTGAGCGCATCTCAGACAGCACCGTAGGCCTCGTCGCGCTCTCCGACTTTCGCAAGCGACGCGCCGAGGTCCTCGACCAGCAAGACCGCGAACGAGAAGCCGCCCTGTCCGGCACATCCACACCAGACCGATCCAATTCCGCGACCCCAGACCCCGGGAGCGACTCGGCCAGCGGCGCGACCAAATCCAAAAAGAAGAAGAAGAAGCTCGGCGGCAGCAAGCTATCTTTTGGCGACGATGAAGAGGAAGAGGAGGGTTCGCTGCCAGTAAAGAAAGGCATGAAAGCAGATGAAGACGAGGATGAGAAAAGTAAAACCATAAAGAAGTCCAAAGTCGTTGCCAACTCGTCCGTCGCGTTTGTGCCCAAGGTCATGTCGAAAGCAGCCTTGCGACGCGAGGCGGCCGAGAGAGAGGCGTTGCGCAAGGAGTTCCTCGCGATACAGGAGGCCGTCAAGGCGACGGAAATTGCGATACCATTTGTGTTTTACGATGGATCGAATATACCTGGTGGCACTGTCCGTGTCAAGAAGGGCGACTACATCTGGGTTTTCTTGGACAAGAGTCGAAAAGTTGGCGCCGAGTTAGGCGTGGGAGAGAAGGCCAATGCACGAAGAGAATGGGCGAGAGTTGGTGTGGACGACCTGATGCTCGTCCGGGGGTCCATCATCATTCCACATGTGAGTCAAATGCGCTTCTATATTTTCGAGTCTTTCACTAACCCTCTATAGCACTATGAGTTCTATTTCTTCATCATCAACAAGAATGCTGGCCCAGGTGGCCAACAACTGTTCAACTACAAAGCCGACGCGCCGCCCAAGAAAGACGAACCGGAACCAGACGAAGCCCCAGCTGCCCCATCTGGCGGCCTGACCACCGCAGCTGCTCTCAAGGCGGCTGCAGTCAAGGCCCTGCCTGACATCAACACCCTTGAAGGTGCCACAGACGACCCTACCCTGACGAAAGTGGTGGATCGGCGCTGGTATGAGCGCAATAAGCACATCTATCCAGCGAGCATGTGGCAAGAGTTTGACCCCGAGAAGGACTATGACACGGAGGTGCGGAAGGATGCCGGCGGCAACACGTTCTTCTTTTCGAGGTGAAGCCTGTATCGTCGGCAACATTTGGCGAGCCTGAATCAAAGGACCGCTGAGGGAGAAAGAGTTACGCCACGAGCGGCGTCCTTGCGGGTTCATCCCGACAGCGTGCGAAGAGTCAAGGCGATACCCAGGATAAACAGCCATCCCGGCCAGAAGACCATGACGATCAGCATGTTACCTCCCGGGCCCAGTATTGTTGTTGCAAACTCCATGAAGACCTTCTTCCTCAACTTCTGGATTCGTCTGGATTCCCATACATGTCTCATGGACGTGCGGAATGCTGTCGTCGTCTTCTTGATGGCAAATAGCGAATGGACGGCGAAGAGTCGGGTTGCTATGACTGCCGATGTGAGGGTTGAGGTGGCAAGAAGGTGTGCGTAGAGGAAAAGCAGCGACGACGCCACGGCCACTACTCTTTGGAAGCGGAGCGCGATGTCAAAGGTAGGTCCGAGTGCGGCAACGAGATCCGACCGTTGGCGGATGGTCACGCCAGGCTCGTGTTTGGACGAGGTCAAAAGGGCGACTTTGTTCATGATGGCGACGGCAGAAGAGGTCTCGGCGAAGACGTGATCACGACCTACGGCGGTGCCTTGTTTGTTTTGACGTGCTCCAATGCCATCCGAAGCGTGGCGAGCACGTTGCAACTCACGATATATATCAAGGGGCATCTGAAAAGCAGCGGCAACTGCATGCGATTCATTCCACCCTATGGACTTTTGGACTCGCGGTAAAAGCGCCTCTGAGGTTCTCGATAACACATAAAGTTTGGATGAGCATGAACATCAGATGTGATAGAGCTCGCAGCTGCCGCGGCGCTATATGCCTAACATGAGCGATGTCTAGAATTTTCTACCCCTCCATTGTGTCGAGATTGATGCTGTGACAGCCCCACCACCGCATCCTTTCCCTGGCGACAAACCATGTCGACACGTGGGGCTGACTGCTTGCCGGATCGGTTCTTGAAGCTCACATCGGGCCTCGAGGCTGGAGTGGAAAATTAGCAACGTGGATTCTTATCGACTCTTATTCGTGGAATCCTTTAGCCCCCCGTGGGATCTTGCAGGCTAGAATCTCCATCTTTCAACTTTGGAACGGTTGCGTTACCCCTCGATGAACCCTGATCTTTAACGCTTTAGCTTCCATTGGCTGTGCACATCAGTTTGATCTTATCGCTTTTATCGCGCTCGTGATTGAAGAGATACCACCTTGGGTAAGGTAGCTCCGGATTTCCTGACCTCTCGGAGTTGGATATGGAGGCATGTGGCGGACCCGTGTTTCGGCCGCCGACCGTGGAGCAAAGAGGCATTCTGACGGGTTGGCTCATCTGTCGTTTCCGGGATGCGTCCGACTCAAGCGGATTGTTTACTCCGGCATTTTCGGGTCATATCGGCCACAGTTAGGAGATGGGTGGCTGATACCGCCACACCTGTGTGCCACACTTAGTCATCACACCTGGTCATCCACACCCAGCTCCTAGCTATGGCTGGTGCTTCAGCCACCTGCACAACCAAGGGGCCACCAACTCTAAAATGTGAATCTCGTCACGATCATTGCAGCACAAACAAGAATCGTAGTTTCTTCGCCGTCTAGGTATGGATAGTGACAGACCGCCATCTTCAGCCGCTTTCTCTTTTCTCGGGTGTGCACTGAGCGGTCAGATCCTGGCGGCGATGTGTTCTTGCATTTACCCAAAACACAAAACATCCATCTCGAGAGAGGGTTCATTTACGGGAGAGTCACAAGTCGGAAAGGGACCAAAGATTGTTCGGCGGCCCTGGGGTCCCAGACCCATGAAGTCTGTGAAGACTGAACACAACCGCAGCGAGGTGTAACGTTCCCACGAGGGTTTGAGGCGAAATAAAAACGTTTGAGCGACGATCGGATTCACTGCTTTCCGTCCAGTCCGACAGAGCCACCCGCCAAGATCCTTCGTCTGGGCGGCAGTGGCTGGTTGACAGGCACTTTGACAACAGGCACGACCGGCTTTGTCCGCTCGTCAATGAGTTGAGCGCACCGCCTGCCCACCGGAGCCGAGGATGGCATGACGAGCATGACAAGCGCCGATCCGACAAGTGGTTCTTCAGTGGAGATGCGGCTGGAAACGAAGTCACTTTGACTATTGCGACTTGACTGCACCGCATGACGGATGGGACCAGAAAAACAAACGCAGCGATATGCATATCTTGCAGCCTGGCTCCATGCAGGTTCCAGGTCATCGATCTTCCTGGTCGTATCTGCCAGCGTTTGCATCACAAGGAGCCACCGAGGAGGGCGCGGTTCATCTATTCTTCCCTCGTAATCCAGAATCTGACCGAGGAAATCCCATCCGGTCTTTGACAACTGATTGGGATCAGACGAAGAGGAACAACGAGACCCTGTAATCGTCCCATCCGCTACTCAAAACGTCCAAGGTGTACCCGTGACTCTCAGCAAGGTCGTCGCTACAAGCAAGAGGGACTGTCATTAAGACCATTCATGCATATCCATCCCATCCCACTAGCATCCTCCTTTGCTGTGTTCAACACGAGCCAGCGATCGGCAGTCCGCTCCAGGGCACACGCTGTTCGAAAAAGCTGCTAGCTTGCTAGCTGTCAGCTGCCGAGCCGAGCACTAGGCAGGCCCCAGCTGAGTTTACGTGAAAATATAGTGAAATCATGAGGACGAGAGACAATTCTTCTAATAATACACATTTCGCCCCAACCCGAACCAGAATGGTGCCTGCAGCGACAAGCCGGAATCGGGCAATTTTGATCGCTCTTCCAACCCCCATGCTCCGCTCAGCGCCGTCTTCACCCATTCTACCTACCGTACGAGTGAGCGATGCGACCCCCCCTCACCCCTCTTTTTGTTTCTCCCGCTTGTCTGCCAACGGGCACGATCTACGCCGCGTTTGTGGGGGAAGAAGGGATGGGATGGGATAGGTGAGAAAGGATGTCGCTTGACGGCGACACGGTCCATCCAGTTGACTGCGGTCGCAAGAAATACGAGAATGGTACCCTTTGTGCTACGTCATGGTTCAACGGTGCCACCTCTCCGGCCTTACCGACTTTCATGCAATGGATGGCTGGGACTCCCGGGTTTAGGCTCTTTGATGGCATGCTGTGTGGAAAGTCAACTGGCGATCTTTTGTCAATGTCGAGAGGATTGGTAAAAAGTTTGACGATGCGATGTGTACTTATACCTGCGTGATGTTCCTCGTCTTAACTCTTGAGATTTGGCATCACAGCATCACGCTTCTTCCGTCTCATCTCATTTCATCCCACCTAATCCCACTTCATAGTAAACATAAACTCACCCTCTTAAATTAAAGACCCCTCAACCCATCACAACCCTCACCAACCCTCAAAATGCACTTCCTTGCCAGCCTCCTTCTCCTCGCCCCAGCCCTCGCCTCCCCTATCGCCCAGCGCGAGGAGACGTGCGGCCAGAAATCAGGCAAGCTCTCCGAGTGGACGCTCACGGGTCTCGACTACCACGCCAGCTACATCTTCAGCACGCCTTCCCACCAGAACTCGTGGGGCTACATCAGCTTCAACGTCTCCAATCCGGTCCTCGACTACACCGTCGCCTGCTCCGCCGCCAGCAGCCGTCTCAACGACTTCTTCTATGGCGAGCAGGTCTATCAGTGCACGCCGCCCGAGGGCGGGGAGAGCACGGCCACGTCCTTCACGTGGAGCACGCCTGAGAAGGCTGTTGCGTTGAACCAGTCGTGGACTTGTAATGATGATCCCAAATACCCGTAAGTCACATCCTCTCAACTCCCTACCGGTTTGCCTTCTACCTCGTGGGGTTTCCCCTGGCGATGAAACATTTGCGCCGAAAGCGTCACGGAGTACGGTTTGCCATAAGAAATGCCGAGGCTAATTGGAATGTGAACAACCAGAGCCCGCTACACCGCAAAGGGCGGCGCCGTTGCCGATCTCCAGTGCGAGGAGACGTTCTGGCAAAACGACAACTGGACCATTGGCCAGATTTACTCGACGCGCAACATCAACTGCGGCATCATCACGCTGCCTACCCCGATCAAGGAGATCTCCGCGGTCGCTTAGACGGGACCATTGTAAATCACGGTTCATGGGTAACCAGAGTTCCATCGCGGGGCTCAATTCCATCCGCACATAATTGACGACGCTTTACACGACTTTTACGATGATTTGGCTGTTTTGCTTTCACGACACTCCTTTGATGGATGCTTCGCACTTTCGCATAGTTCCGGCGCCTAGAAAACCCTTCCCGGTCATTGTACATGATGATGGGGATTGGGATGCTATTTCGGGATCAAAATGGGACACGGAGCATATAGAAGCATGTTTGGAATAATTCTAATGATCTAATTCTTCTTCATAACTGAGCAGACTCACTGAATGCCCCGTTCGGATGACCGTGGCTTCATTGTTACGTTCAAGGATGTCCATATGTAGTGCCTATGGCTCACCAGACGCCTCTCATCATTCATGATAGACCTCCTGATGAGACACTTGACCAAGCAATTTGAAAGAACGCCTTTGGACCACAACTTCTCAAGAAGCTTGGATCATCGAAACATCAAAGCAATGGGGTATCTTCTTCTCCTTCCTATCAACCGTGTTCCTTTTTCTGTTCACGCCTCTGGGTCTTCATCCTCATCTAATTAAGTCTACCTTCAGTCATCAGCCGTCTGCCGACACAGCCACGGGTCCTCCATCAGTTCTCGGGCGGATAACCTATCCTCTGGTTTCCACTGCAGCATCTTCCTCAGAAACACCAAAAACTCGGCTTGCTCCGCTCCCTCGAGATTACACTCTTCCTCCTCGAACGAGGACTCTGGTATCTCGCCATCGACAACTAGTTTTCCTGTCTCTCGCGCGTCAGTCTCACCCGGCCTACATTGCAAACCACTCGCACGGTCATCAACAAACCTTCATCGTCAAAAAAGTCTTTCCATGCCGACCCTCTATCCAGAAGATCATCGGGCGGTGGTCCGAGCAAAGACACCGTCCTCGCAAAGTGGGCTGCCCGGGATGCATTCCGATCGCGGTGTCGTGTGTTGTAGAGTAGCTTCCCCTCGAACAAATCCCAAACCTGGCAACGGTGGAAAATCAGCGTCAGCATTTGGTAGGCCCCTCGCCGCAGGCGAATCTCTCACCATCAATCCCAAAGCCCATATATCAATCTTTTCGTCCCAGGGAATTCCGAGGATGATTTCGGGCGCGCGGTACAGATCTGGCATCACCTCGCCGTCGAAGTCGCCTTCTCCGTATTGCGCATCGCCGAAATCTGAAATGACAGGGTCGCCTGGATCATCTGGGATCTCGAGCCCCGTTGATGCGTAGGTGGTACGATCACTCATGACTTTTCTCGCGCTTGGAAGCCTCCATTCTCCGTTCACTAGGACATCCAAGATTGTCGTGTCTGAAATTGAGAGCATAATGTTTCCATCTTGAATATCTGACGTGTGTGTTAGTGAAGCAGATCTATGCCCCGATGCAGAGAACACCTCAGCTTCTGAGGCGCATGATGGTGAAGTGTTGCAAAAGCATAATCATCCTCACCTGTATGGACGACATGTGCAACTGAATGCATATAGTCAATGCCCAGTAACAAGCCGTATATCAACCCTTTTAATAGATTCTCTGGCAGCTTGCCGCCTGCCAACTCTCGAATGTCGGCTAGGGATAAGCCTAGAGTCTCGAAGACCAGACAAACATGCGGGCCGATTTTCCCTTGCAGCTCAAAACTGTCCTTGATTGAGCGAAGGAGTTTCTGTCCTGGGTGCTCAGACTCGAGGCGTTCCAAGTGGCGAAGGACCACTTCCTCGTTACGAGCCTGCCGATGACCAGTCTCATAGACTTTCAAAGTTACATAGCAATGCTTCCTAAAACACCAGTTAGCTAAGTAGCCCTCGAAACGACAACAAGTATGTAAATAAATCGCGCACATACTCAAGATCACGACACAACCACACCGTTGACGCAGAGCCAAACCCCAATTTCAGCAGCACCTGATATCGTGACTCATAGACCTGGCCAATCTGGATCGGGTACCACTTGTCGGGATTATACCAAGCAAAAGCCTCCTCTTCCAGGCGTACCTCTTGGCCGTACAGCTCTTCCGGTTCGGCGTCCGGCAGCTGCCGTGGGGGCGAGCCGTCTCTCTCCGCGGCCATTGGCGTCAAGGAGCCGCGGCGACAATGCGGTTGAAGTAGGCGGTGAGATGTGGACTCGGAGACATGGCGTTGTTGCGCGCAGGGTTTGCTCAAGGCTCTGGCTATTTTTTGTGGGGTGGAGATGTTAAGTGCCCGTTGTGCTGCGGGCTTCCCCACTAACCAAAGTCTCGTGTGACCAGTTGCAACTTGATTTGGTTCCAGCCACCTCCATTTCTCGTTTGCCTTGGAGCTGAGTAAGTGAGCTGATTAAGTAGAAACTATGAGATGATGTATGAATACGAAAAGACCAAACTTTCAGAACCCTTTTGTGGGCGACTTTTGTCACGGCTTCAGTCAGGGTTCTTCGTCATTGTAAAGCTCGCTGACATAGTGACTTGACTAACTCAACCAGGTAAAACTTAATGCGACACTAGAAGAAGGTAACCGTCACTGATAAACCTCTAATCAAATCTATAATTGTGTGACGAAGCAACAAGTGTCCAGCTACGAACATATCCTACCCTTTTCTAACCATATTCTTTAATTGAACGTACTAAAGTCTGTCACCCGGCTGCGTACAAGCTGTGAAAAAGTAAAAGACAGGCGCTGAACTTGGAAAATAGACTATCTATCCCATTTGAAATCTTCATGCATATCGTCATTTCAGTTCCGCGAGTGCGAATGTCACTTCAAAGCCTGGACACTATGCTTATGTAGTGCGGAGTATATGCAGAAGAGGAAAACAAAGAAATAAATTGATGTAACCTAATTTGAACTTTCGGCCCATGTAGAAATGCTAGAATGGATTCGCATTTTTGCTTCCATCAAATAATAATGCCGGCAACTCGCACTCGTAGCTGGAATCATCACCGTATAAACACTAATCAGAATCTTTCTCAAGTGTCACATGCATGCACTTGTGACTCAGTTGAGTCCAGTCCCACGGCTTTCTCGCCTTGTCTTTGTCGTGTTCGTCCTTGCTCGCAACCCACCAGGCTTCAATAGGCTCGTAGTAATCTCCGCTCCTAGCTTGACCTAAGATGGATGCCCAACGTCGGTCTCTGCGCTTTTTTCGATCTTTTCGACGGAAAT